AGTTATGATGATTCCGCTACCCATCACACACATTCATTTCATACAAAACTGCAAACTGATTATGTAGAATGTTTTTAAACAATGCTGTTACGTTCGTTTTGCTCTTCCAGACTGGAACAGTCCGGGCAGCTCTCGCTTCGTTTGAGACAACAGGGGCAACCAGTTGAAAATGACAGAAACAGACGACATGAGAGCCGACATAAGCCGTATGTTGAAAATTGGCGTTCCATATTGTAGCAATCACATGGGTAACAGGGTCGCTGTGTTTAGTGGTCAACCACCAACGCCTTCTCCGAGTTTTGCTGGGGGGCAGTGTGAAATGCTAAAGGAATATTTAGTTTATTACCTCCTATTATGTTGATTAGCATACTAAAGCCTCTCTGTTTTTTACGTATATTTTATTTGTTCTTCAGTGATGTCGCATTTTTCGGCTTGATTATGGAAATTCAAGGTATAAAATACATTAAAATGAATCTTATAGTTTTTTTAAGCCCTGATTCATTAACATGGCCGCAAAATGTTTACACATTAAAGCGAGAAAGCGCTGTTGTGGCCGCCACTTTTCGCTGGCGCGGGCCGCTGCTTTTGGCGGCCTTTGCAGTGAGGGGTTTTGTCCTTTTGAAGTGCTCATTAGGCTCCAAACGGCTAGGGGTATTGACATGGACTGTCCCGGCCCAAAGACAGCACAGAGGGAGTGCTCGGCGCCTTGGGACAAGAACAACCTGCCATTTGTTGTAGGTTTGCCATGGTAAACGGGAAGGTAGAAGGAGAGCGGGAGGGTGTGCGAACAGAAGTCCGTACGCCTCGGGGTTTTACTACTCCGGTCTGAAAGCAGTAAGTTGTAAGTCGCCTGTCGTCTCTCCTCTCCTCTTTTCTTGAAGAGCTTTTCTGCTCAGTTTTTTTTTTATCTTCTCCATTTTTCTCCCCCTTGCCCTTTATTCCCTTCTATCTTTTCTTTATTCTCCTGTCGTGCTCATTTTGTTCTGGAGGAACTATTCTTCCTCGCGCATTGACCATCGTCCTCCTCAGGCGCACTTCTGATCAGAAGTCTGAAGAAAAAAGACAAGGAAAGGGGTGGAGCCAAGAGCAAACCAACCCAACCCAACTCAGTATCCTCTCTTATTTACTAATGGGCCTGAGTTTGGTAGAGAAGAATAAACATATGTGGATTTTTCTAAAGCGTCGTCTCGCGAGAAGTGCCTACGTGGGTGGGGTTTGTAGGTGCCCCGTAGGCTTGCCGCTGCAAACATCGCGCACAAAAGAGAACAATATATCCGTCGAGAAGTATTACACTATTTAGTGTGTATAGCTGAGATAAACTTGTCCTTGGGTTAGATTTTTATCTATATCCCATTTCAAGGACGCTCGTTAAGTATATACTTATATTTTGGAAAGAACAGGTATTATAAGATAAGTACTATACTATTTGGTGTGTATGGCCGTTCTTGACCGCCTTGTGGGGTGGTCTTTTTTTGGGCCTCGCAGGTGTGACGGGCTGAGCGCCCGGAGGCGGCTTGGTCGAGGCTCAAGCCATACAAGCGCACGTGAGGTAGTATGTAACCACTAAGGCTGGCCTAGTCACAAGAGGGGCTAGTAATAGAGGACCCACATGCCCTTACAGTTAACGAGGTAGATAAAGAGGGAAATCTGTTGAGCTAATGTTTAATCATTATAATCACCTGACATGTCACGGGCGGTTACCGTACGTATAAACCTAGAATACTGTAGACTTTGTACTGTACCTACATACTATTAGAGAGCCCCTACGGCTGATTTCTCCCTCCTAATACGATGGCTCTCACACACCTAACTCGACACTAGTGTCTCCGGGCGGAATAAATTCTTTCCCTCTTCTTCGAATAAAATTAGTCTGAAACTAAAAACTTGCGCTTTTACATTCTTTCGGCCGTCACGTCTTGCAATCCCACGATGGAGATTTGCGAAAGAGGCCAAATCTTTATCGAAACAGACCAGGATCCCACATTCGACCACACCAAACTCATTTTACGAGGACCTAATGATGAGTATTTCTACGCCAAGTCCAACGAGCGCCGCTTCCCATCCTTGCAAGTCGATCCGAACGGTCTGGAAACCATCAAAATTCCCGCAAACATTTGGCCGCTGGTCACACCCGACCTCACTCGAGCTCCCCGTCCTCTCCCCTCGACCTGTTATTTGAAGCGACCCCGCCTTCTGTATTACGAGGCAACTTCGGACAGTTCCGACTATGAACTCCAGATTCTGACCGAGGTGAAAGCATGCGAGATTCTTCGAGCACACCCGCATCCGAACATCGTCCCGTACTTGGGCTGTGTTGTCCGCGATGGGAGAATCAGAGGGCTCTGCTTTCCTAGGTACTCTGTCACTCTCTCGCAAATGCTCAAGGATGGAACGCCTTTTAATAAAAGCTCCTGTTTGAGTGGGATTGAGGCGGGTGTTTCTCACATGCACGGGCTGGGACTTGTGCACAACGATCTCAACCCCTCAAATATCATGATGGATAAAGATTGTCCTGTCATTATCGATTTCGATTCCTGCAAGCCGGAGGGTGAGAAGCTGGGTCCCAAAGGAGGAAGTGATGGATGGGCACTCGAGGGAGACTATGCAAGACGGGAGAACGATTTGTATAGCATCGAGCAGATACGACACGTACTGCTGGGCAGGTGATTAACAGAGACGGCTGAACTTTAGTGTCACGTATTACGAAGCGCTGAATAAGAGGATACTTTACAAGCACCGAAGATTGTAGTATTAACTACTGTATAGATAATCCTTCTATTCCAACCGTCACCTTGTCCCACCGACTTAAATACATATATCCCTCCCACTACATTCAGTTGTCAGAGTTTGCATTGTTATCCGGGCACAGGCATGTTTCTTACACTTTTTCACTGCTGGTTTGGAACATAGTTGTCCGACCATTTGCAATCCCTCTCGCCGCAATCCGATATCTTGGCTCTGTAGGACGACCCATCCTTGCGGTATTTAGTAATCCAGTCGCAGTTGTCAACGAGTGGTGTGATCTCGAGATGAGCCATTTCGAAGTAGAGGTATTGATTTGTTTGGTTTTCGTGATATTCGACAGAAGGAACCACTAGGAAAACGAATAACGTAACATAAGAAGGGTCTTGAAGCAGAATATGGATTTGTTTAGTAATTATAATAGTCGATAAAAGGGAGGCACTGGGATAGTGAATAATGTAATAAGGTTTCGAGTAGCCTTGAAATAAATGGAGGAGAAGCGGATAAGAGTCCACATATATAGCCTAATACGTTCTTTTCCCTGAGGCAGCTTCTTAGACGTATAAAGGAATTCAAAACCAGTCATAGCGACCCCTCTTTGTCCACCCCTTCACATTTACAAACATATTTAATAAGGTGAGTGATATTATGCGGTCGAGACAAATAGCCCTTTCGCCCTGCATGCCTGCCCAAGGAAATATGACTGCATAAAGGAAATGGTGATGATTTGAGGGGCTTGAAAGCTGGTATTGGCAGCCGCCCAGCTCGGATTGATTGGCTTTCGGGAAACCTTTTTTACCCTTATCTCCCCTCTTCGGGGGATTTATTAGTCCATAAACCTCGTCGATGTCGAGGGAAGCCTAGCCATTTTGTGGATGCCATCTATGAGTCGCGTTTCAAAGCCGAGTCTTGAACACCAGCCACTCTTTTTACATAAAATCAACTGGTTTATTATAGAAAGCAATAGGGAACGAACAGAAAAGAAGGAGGCTGTGGAGCATGCCCTCTTCTAATTGGCAGTCCCTCATGTAGTAGATAGATGCGCCAGATCCTAATATTGCCTTAGTGAAGACGCCGTGAGTCGTTTTCACAAATGGCCTTTCCGTAATCAACGAATGCGTCGAGCACCAATCCCAAACAAAGGTTCGGGTAAGGCGGATCGGTCGTACCGTTGCGTTCGTGCCGTGTTACCGTATTTCGTCAAAATTTCACCTTGTATGCGGATGACTTGAGAGAAGGGGTCGAGAAGAAAGCAAGGGGCTGGGGAGAATCTACGAGGTTCTCACGAATTCTCTTTCACGTAGACGCATGACGACCTGCCATTGCCCCAGCCTGTGCCGGCTTGTCCGTCTTAAGGGTATGTGAAATTCCTTACCACCAAACGATCACGGTCACGCAGGAATGACGCCCGACAGCAAACAATCCTGGTGAGCAGTATTTGCAGGCCAATCATCGTCGGCGCGACCGTGTTAACTACATTACCCTCGAAGCCTATCGGGCCGGATAAGACGATGTCTGTTACCTACGAAGGATGTGAAGGGGCGCGACCGAAGTGTTTGGCATTGTGTAGTGGGCTGTGGTAGGCAGATTCAACATGTTGAGGGGGGTGAGGCCTCGCAATTGATTCAGGATGCTGCTCGACACAAGGTGAGCACGGGCACGATGACAGGTCGCCGGTGATTCCCCGGATATGTCTTTGGAAAGGGCATATCTCTTCGTATTCGGTCCCATGATAGCAGCACATAGTAATACCACACTACCAAAATAGATTCGCCCTTCCAACGTCAAAGCCAGACCGAGATAGGGGATCGGTGCGAAGCTGTAGCACCATTCGAATACCAAGCTTTTCAAACCTGGAGAGTACGTTTCTCGAGATAAGAACACGTTCGAATAAGCTTACAAAACAACTCTAGATTTCGATTCTACTATATCAATTGCTTGCCTCCGCCTGTCCCTAGATCAGAATGTTGCCACCGGTGCATAAAGAAATATTGAAGGACGACTCATAGCGTTCCACCCGCCGAGCGTCTCAAGCAGGACCTGTCCGGCGGCCCGTCCTTTTTCTTCTTCGGCTCCGGCTTCTTTGTTTGCGGACACGGGACGGAAAACGTCTTGTTTATTTTGTAGAGCCCCGTTCATCTGTACTTTCTTGGCGGCAGTGCTGCTATACGTGCGCTCCTCCTCAAGGGTGGGTTTGCCGGTGAGCCACCCCGTGTCCTTAAATGCCGGCCCGCGCCTGGCCCTGCCCCTGTAGGGCGCTACGCCCGCCGCCCTACAACACCGCTTCCTCCTTGAGTAAAGCCCGTCGATCGTTGGGTGCCGCGCCCCGCCAACACGCGGCTATCCGTCTCCCCCCTTGCATTTGATGGATCCAGCGGCGAGATCGATGTTGCAGTTCGTACATGGCCCCGCACCTTTTGTGGTGGCGATGGGCGCCGGGTTGGCATGGTTGGCATGGTTGGCATCGTCGATGTTAGCTCTGGCTGAGACTGCTTTTTGTTGCGTTTGACAGGGCGCATGGCGTGTCCAGGAAGCGACTCGTCTTCATTGTTCGTCGACCGCTTTCTTTTCAACGCTTCCGAGTTGCGTAGTTGGCTGTGTTCGGCGCCCACGTTCTCCGTTACATGCCCCCGTCGTCCGGCATGGTTCGGCACACCGGATAATAGATGGGTGCGTGGCGGCGGCGTCGGCGTTCGCGGCTGCGGCGGTGTTGGCATTGCTCCCTCCGTGTCCCCGTTAAGCCACGCTGCGACCCCTTTTGTCTTTTGATCCGTGCTGCTGAAGAGACGGTCCCGCTCGCGCTCGCGTTGCTCTAGGATGGCGCGCTCGAGCAGCTCGATTCTCATCAGCTCGCCCTCTGAAAAGTGGTGCGTCACCAACTTGCCCGCTTCAACGTCGTCTCTCTTTTTTCGCAGTTCCGCCCTCTTTTCTTCCCAGTAGGCAATGTTGCCGAAGTCGGGCGGCGACCTGAAGCGGCTGTCAAAACGAAGATCGTTAAAATCGTCAATAACGTTGTTTATAACGATATGCCCCGGTAGAGTGTCCCTATCCTCGTCCTTGTCCCGTTCTCGGAAGCGGGTGTCGTATACAGGGAGATAGAGATCTTCGTAATGTAACACCCACTTTCCGGCAAGTCCACAATCCCAAAGATCGTCCATTAGACTTATAACCATTTGCTGCGTCTCCGCTAGCTTCTGCAACGCAGCGAAAGATTCGGCCGTTTTGACCACAGAGGGATTCTCCCTTCGCTCTCTAGCGTATATTGTAAAAGCGTGATCTTCGTCACCTTCCATCGACTCCAATGTTCGCAGCTCGTCTGGCGTAAAACGGGGTTGCACAAGTCCCTCTTTGACTTGACGTCTCTTGTCACGCAGATCCGATCGTTTGTTTTCCCAATAATCGAAGTCGGCGAAGTCGGGTTGCGGCCCGTTTCCAGCCCAGGTGAGCTCATAGTCGACGAGGACCCCGTCACCTAGAACCCGCGTGTCCCCTTTGTAGGTCGCGTCGCGAATCACGATGCTTTTCTCGGCTGCTCGTGTCTGAGGGCGGGTGTCGATGGCGGGATGATAGAGCTCTTCGTTGTGCAAGATCCACTGACCGGGGCGCCCGAGTCCCGCAAGGTCAAACAAGATGTTGAAAACAGCGGTTTTATCGCCTACCATTCTCTTTCTTTTGTCGTCCAACTCCGTATGGAAGAAATGGCCAGCCTGCTCCTCCAGCGACTCGAGTGACTGCAGCTCCTCTGGCGTGAAGCGAGGCTGCACAAGCTTGGCCTTGACCTGCTCGATCTTTTCGTCGAGATCTTTGCGCTTGCCCTCCCAAAACCTGATGTCTTTGAAGTTGGGCGCCGTCCCTTTTCCGGCCCAGACTATGCCTTTTTCCGGATAGGTAAGACCACGAACGGGGACCTCTTCGTCGGGGTTTCGAGAATGCGGCCGCGTGTCTAGCGTCGCCGAATAAATATCTTCGTGGTGTAGAATCCACTGGCCCGGGCGACCAAGACACGCAAGGCGTACCAATCTAGAGTCGACGGCGTCGATTGCCCTTTTTAGTCGTAGATAATACCGCTCTCGAGACGACATGCGTTCTTGAGGATGTTGTATGACGCTCTTGGCAGCCTCCGGTGCGCCGTTCATTGTTATCTGTGTCGTTGAAAAAGCTAGAAAGAGGGGGGGGAGATGTCGGTTTATGTTGGCTGGAGTAGATGAGGACGTGATGGGATTGAAAGAATTTGTCGTCGCGATGTTCAAATGCCGTCTTTATTTTCCGCGGGAAAGATCAGGAAAAAGGTAGGTGTGGCTTTATCGGTAGGTAGAAAAGAGATTACTCGGGGCGGCCATTTTCAGCCACTGGCCTTTATTAGATGGCTGGGAAATCCACCTACATAGCCACACCACGAACGACAGGCGCCTAATCTTTTATCTGCTGAGTTGGTGAGAGCCAATGCGAATTCCAAATAAATGGGGCGTGGCACGAGTACCCCTCCTTGGCCAACCATGAAATGTCAAGGATCTTAATGGATAAGCAGGCCACGGGCCACCGGCCCGCTCCTAGTCGCCTAGATAAATGTATTATTAATACGTAACTCTCGTGCATCATGGGCGTCTGTCAACACAACATGTCCGTGGTGGTGTGTGAGGGACTCGTTTTACTGGACAGTGCTTCGTGCGAAACAAGTCTTCTTAGCCAACCGATTGTGTCAACACGTACATTCTCTGACGGCGGCCCCTTCTTCCACCAGATAGACAAAAAGTCGAAGCCTAGGCTGCTCAACTAAATAGAAAAAATAAATGCTTTTCCCACCTCGCTTTTCTTTCTTACTCGAGATCTCTTTTTGTAAACGCACATCTCGACTTAACCTTTGTTCCTCTCCTTGCACACTTGTGTTTCTGTCTACCTCTTCTTTGTAACGTTTTCTTCTCTTCGCTTCAACTCTTCTTTTCAGCTCTCTAACATTTACATCGACGGCCCATCCTCTCCTTTCTCCAACACAGTTCTTATTTCTCGAACAACAACATTCAAACACCCCCTAAATTCGACAACACAGCAGCACCCGAGCTTCATTATGGCGGGCCGCAAGACCATTTTCATTATAAAGGGAGACGAAGGGCTCTTAAATAACAAACACAACGAGAAGCGGTTTAAGTGCAGTGATGTGCAAGTAGATGATGGCGATGATGGCGCCAGCCAGCACACCGGGTCGTTCTACGGGGACCACGGCACGCCTGCGCCTGTCATGACTCCGCCTTTTGTCCTGCGGATCACCACAGACCACCAGCCGAAAGACAAAGACATCGGCTTTATGATCGGCAGAAACCCAGCCGAGTGCGACATCTTGCTCGACGACCGCAGAATCAGCGAGATGCATCTCGCTGTGCAGCTGAACTTTAAGTCCGGCACCATCCTCTTGAAAAACCACTCGAAGCACGGTACCCAGGTCAAATTTTCTGAACAGAAACAGTCGAGGCTGTTGAAGGGGGCCCAGACTTTGTTGAATCTCGAAACGGCATACATTAAGTTTAGCGACAATCTTGAAATCCAAATCGAGCACTTTGATAAGCCGGTGGGTTGGAACCAATATCTCGCCGATCAAATAGATCAAAATAATGTTCCGAGCTTAGCCCTACTAGGGCTGGGCACGAAGATTGAAACGACCAATGCATCCAAACGGCCTCCCGTCTACATTCAAGATCGCCGGCTTGGACAGGGTGCCTTTGCACAAGTGTTCAAGGCCATTGAAAAATACACCGGAGACGTATACGCAATGAAGCTGTACGACAAGCCCCAGAAAGCGCGGTGGCAAGAGCAGGCGATGTTGGAACGTCTGAAACATGTAAGATCCGACGTACTGTATGTCCAACAATTCCCCGTTAATGATGATCCGTCCAGAAACACATTGTACGATATGTGGCTTACATCCACCTGCCCGACCAGCCTGCACAACTCATCATGGAGTATGTCGAGGGGCCTAATCTTCAAGAATTCCTCGATCCAAGGAACGGGCACCCGCCGCTCGGCATGGCTGAAGCCCGGGATGTGCTGCATCAGCTTCTTCAGGCAGTTGCCTATCTCCACGGCGAAGGGGTGACACACAGGGACATCAAGCCGGCCAACATCATCCTGGTACGCCGCGATCCCATCCATACGAAGCTGGTCGATTTTGGCTTGGCAACCGGGGCGCAGCTGTTTGACACGTACTGCGGCTCGCCGTTGTACCTCGCGCCAGAGCTCATCAAGGGGCGTGGGCGGCGTACAAACAAGGTGGACATTTTCTCGATTGGCGTCGTTGCCCTTGCTCTGTTTGGGGTTTCGTTTAGCCTGGAGCACGCCCACGGACCGCAGGCATGCCTCGACGCTGTTTTACAGCAAAGACGGTCGTTGGCCACCCAGGGCCAACCTCTCCCTGCCCATCTCGATTTGGTTCATAGACTTCTCTCGGAACGCCCAGACGACCGACCCTCGGCACAAGCATGCTTAGGACACATATTCTTTCAATCTGATGCCCATCTCGGCGCATCTCTCGGGCCGCACGGTCTTGTTCCCGACCTACGCACTCAAATTATGCACACGGACTATTGGAGGGACATGGGATACAACCCGGAAGAAGTAGCCACAGAGATTGCAGACACCCAAGATCCCCCACGCGCAGAACAGGTCTCCAGGGAAGCTATACAGGGGCGGTTCCAGCAGCCGGCTGACAACGCTGTCGACGCCGAACGTCTCGACCCAAAGAGCCCGCAAGTCGCGGCTGACCACACGAGTAGACGCAGAGCGAGGCGCGAGATGAGCCAATCCCACCGGTCAAGACACTCGTCTTCATCGGCTCGACGCAAGCGCCAAAAACAAGAGAACAACAACGCTTCCGGAAGCAGACGCTCAGCGTTTATCAGATCTAGCGCGCCGTCCCCGCTTTCCGGTCGTAAAGACCATTCGAGCCTTGCGTTGATGCCGGATGGACAGGACAACCAAGTGGAGTGGGGCGACTGGCTCTATAACAACTTCGACTACAGGCTTCCTGGTATCGACGAGAATGCTGCCTCATATGTTAGTGCTATCCCGGACACGGCCTCGTGTGGTAGCATTCCCGAGCAATGGACCTTGGACGGCTCTCGTCACAGCCCACAGCAAAGCCGTCGTTCGTCTAGTTCCTCCAAGGCCGACCCCGACCACGGGGTCCAGACCGGAGCCACACAGGCCACATCTGGTGTCCTAGACGTATCGTTCGGGAAAACGCCCGCGAAGGACGAGTTGGAGTCTGAGGCAGACTTGTACGACGGTTGTTGGATGGACCCCTCCCACGTCCTTGGGGCCGGCTCGTTTCTCGACAGGCATCACCGCCCTACGAAAACAACCCGTGGAGCTGCATCGGACACAACTCCCAGCTTCCACTCACTCTCGCGACTTGGAGACTTGGGAGGTGAAGACGTTCGTTTCCCTGACGCGGATGGCGCCGACTGTGGACTACGTATCACGCACCCTCAACCCGAACCAGAGGCGTCACAAGGTGTGAACAATGTCGAAATGGATGGGAGAATTCGCGGTCGCGGCTTTAGCCATTCCTTTTCTTTCCATGACGGTACTCATTTCCAACCATTCTCTAGTGTCGGCGTTCCTACAAGGATGGAGGATATTTCCACTGTAGCAGCGGTGGGAGGTGAAGCTTCCAGAGCATCAGACAGAGCGGGGTCTAAGGAGAAGGGGGACAACGAAGAAAGCGGCAACAACGCGGGTGCACCGGTCCCGGTCCTTGCCAGATCCAGAGTGCTGTCTCCATCATGCAACACAGAGTGGCACGACGGCAGCCCTGATTCCACGAGTGGGACAGACAGCAGCGCACCCCCGTCGCCTGTTACGGCTTTGTCGACACCACGGCATTTCATCATGATGAGGGAACATCGAGTCTCTGTACACAACGCAGACGGATTGTTCAATTTTAATGACATCTGCACTGCAGGGGACGCGGATTTTGTTACTCGCAAAAAGTGCTTTCATCTCCTCCAAGGGCATGGCGTGGTATCAAAACGAGACGGCCAGGCATGGATTCCTTTCGAAGACGGCTGCTTCCTCTGTGACAAACTGGGTCTAGACCTCAGGCCTTTATTGTCCTATGCACAAGCGAATCGCCCAAAGCGAACCAAAAATTATCTCTTGATGAATATGATGCTGCGACCCGAATACGACGTGTTTTGGTGGAACGATGTGTACATACCATACATACCAGCACGGCGAATCGTCAACATGAGAGCGCTCGCTTCGTCCATGGGCATCACGAGAGTGCTGTTGAGGCGACGGTTGGCGAAACTACGGAGTACTATCATTCAAAGTAAGGGAGTAGCGGGGACCTATTTGACTGTGGAAGACGCGCTGCAACTTTGCACCGAAATGGGACTCGACTTGCAGCCAATTCAATGCATTTCGACAGAGTGTAGAACGCCCGAGGAGAAAATGGTGTCTCCACGCAGCACAGTTCAACCCAGCCGCGAATACTCTGGTGCTTTTTTCCAGTCGTTCTCTGAGACCAACGCACTTATAGGGGAAGAGGAACGTTGTGCCGCAACAACCATGGGCACAGAAGCTGCAATCGAGTCGGGTAAAGAGGAGGAAGAGGAGGAAGAGGAGGAAGAGGAGGAGGAGGAGGAGGAGGAGGAGGAGGAGGAGGAGGGAGGGGAGGAGGGGAGGAGGGGAGGAGGAGGACGACGACGACGACGACGACGACGACGACGAAGAAAGCGAGGAGTCGGGCAAAGAGGAGAATGAGGAAGAGGAGGAGGACGAGGAAGACCGTATTGAAACAAAAGCGCGGGAACAAGAAACAGCAATGGAGCCGTCAGACGCAAGCTCACCGGACAGGGGTAATACTATAGTGCCCAGGGGCGCCGTTCGTTACAGAAGGCGAACTTCGTGAGTACTTTCTTTTCCCCCCAGTTATGTACTTTACGTTAAACCGTCTGTATTACACAGCGTATTTAGCTAACCGGTTTTTTTTCGGCCCCAAGACAATGATCGACTCGAGGCAGCATACCTACAGAATCGGTGGCCCGGGAAAACAGAGCGTCTCCGTATTACGGAGACGGTCTCAATAAACTGCGGTCAGGTAAAAGTACGCCGTCTATCGTGTAGTCATAATATGAGAGCTTTTTCCCTAATCTGTACTTACTCCTATCGTACTAGACTTGGTTTGAAAACAGGCGGCGGCTTGATCGGCGTAAGCCACCGGGATGCGACGTGCTTGCAGCCACCGACGCGCCATCCATTTTGAAAGCATCTAATGCCGGCGGTGTCGCAGCGCCATTCGCGCCTAACCCGACCACCATGCTTAACAGTTGCGCGATGCACGAGTTTGAAGGCCACCTAAGCGTCCTCGAAATCTATATGGCTGCCAAAGCCCCGACGATAATACGCCTCCGGTATTCATACCTCCTCGACGACCGCGGCGTGCTGGTGGAGTGGAATGGCCAACCCTGGGTGCCCTTGAAAGACGGCTGCTTTCTATGCCAGGCTTTAGGGCTTGACCCGCACCCGCTGCTAAGCAGCGCCTCGATGGATCCGTCCATCTTACGGGGAAACTACCTGCTGCTACGCCATGCACTGCAACCGGAGTACAGCTTACTGTGGTGGAGAAACACCGCCATTACTTACTCACCCGACAAACGGGAGGTCAATGCGACGCAGCTGGTCAAGGCGTTTGGATTACGACGAAAGTGGTTGCAATTATATCTTGCCAAACATAAGCAGATTAACAGGGCGTTCATCAAGGGGCGGAATCATAAAGGAACCTTCATCGCCTTGACGGATGCCTACCAGCTGTGTGCGTTGAATGGATTAGACACGGAGCCTATACGAGCCATTTCGGCTGAATGCGGCGTCTTTCTTGACGTAACTTCTGTCTCTGTTATATGACTGGCCGCGGGAAGAGAGACTCGAAGCTGGAAGGGGGCCAAGCAACGGCGTGGCGGGTGCAGAACAGTAAGAAAAGGATAAAAAAATCTCTACCGTACAAACTTTTATTCCGCACAGAGGCGTTAAGCAGATTAAATACTCGTTTCTACGATATCCAACTAGCCTGGATCCTGTGCTTGTTCCTATGACACCACTTGAGGCCTCAGGTGTAGCGCCTCTTCGCTCACCCGTTGCTTGCACAATCGTCTAACATCCCTCTACATCCCTCTTACATCGCCAGGCGTCGTCGCCCTTGGCCCACACCATTGTTTGTAATTAAGGCTAACATGTTTCATAAATTGTCTGCCTAAGTCGAATAAAAATAAAAGCCTATATAAAATGACTACAGAATATTAACATTCGCTACGAAACTATCACAGTGTGGCATTCTATTCTGAACCTCGACAGAAAGCCACCCTTCCCGGCTTGTTGTCATCGCGACGATTAGGAGCCTCTCTGCCGTCTTCGCAAGCTCGGAGCCACTTTCCAAGTCTGACAGGCGGTCCCGGCATTTTTGGATGGGTGTCGTGGTACTCTTGGAGGAATTGAGGGCATCCCTTGAAATTCCGAGCGCAATACCAATTGTTATCATCTCCCTAATCCTCCCAATCAACCTGGTACTGGAGCTCTCCGTTGTGGATACGTGAAGCCAGAATCTCTTGAACATCCCACTTATCCTGATCCTCAACTTCGGTGTTGAGAAGATTCGTCTTGACTTGGTCCTTCGCAGGTTTCCGTTTCATAGACTGCGATGGTACGCATTGCTGGCTTTCGAAAGCATGGTTTTCAGGTCTGTGATTCGTACAGAGTGATTCGCTAAAGTCCTCACTCCACTCGAACTGGTACGTCACTCTATCGCGGTCTGTAACAATCTTCAGGACGGTATGCTGAGTCGCTTTTCCTCGAATCTGGTGGCATGGATGTCTGCAGGCTCTCTTCCCGGGTCGGAACCTTGCGAAGACGGAGGGCTAGGGATGTTGCGCCGACTGCTGTGCGGCCCGTTTGAAGTTAATGTTTGGACTTACCTTTCTCGAGAGCGGTGACTATTCGAGCGACTCCGTTGCGTCTTGGCTGCTCTAGAAATGGAGGTTCGGACGGAAGGATTCGTTTTCTAGCGTTTCTAAGGTGGCGGGCGATAGTCGACGTCGTGTTTATCATCCTGCTCTCTTTCGCCACATACAGAAGGCCCAGAATCATACATGTCTTCACCTTCAACATCTGCCGTGTCGTTCCGATCACGGCCCGCACGATACCGAGACTCTCCTAGGTAGTCGGTTTGCCGTACAGCTTCAGCGTTGTTTTTGCCAGGAGAATCTTTGTTGTATGTGCCGATAGACCGGCGGAATCGCAGACGAGCCGCGGCCCTTTTCTGAAGACGAGATTTCGGCTTCGTCGTAAACGGTTTAACGGCACTGCCATTGTCGTCACCTTCTCTCGCTAAGTCATGGCGCGTCGGGCTGTCTTGACGCTCCTCGATGCGCAGCTGTGGACTGGGATGCCTAGCCAGCTGATCTGGACTAGGCGTAGCCTGTATCTCGACATTCGTTGGCGTAGCGTGAGGTAGCTCGTGAGTGACTTTGTTGCGTATGGTGTCCTCAGAATCGGATCTTTGTGGAGCCTCTAACACAGGTGATTGCCACAGCCACGACGGACTAGATGACGACACTAAAGAATGCTCCTGAACAGGCGCTTCCTGCTCTGGACCTAGCGCAACCTCGTCACCGGCATCACTCTTATTTCTAATCGGCGAGGCTGACGGTGGCAGCAGAGGGCGTTCTAGGCCATCTGTCTTTTGCTGCTGGCTCGATGCGACATCATCTGCCGGCTCGATTCCCTCGTTAAGGGAAAGCTCCCTCAAGTCCCCGTTGTCGGTATCAGGAAATGCGGCATCAAGACCTACGTCTGTTTAGACACATCAGCCTATTATTGCTAATGCATTGGCGGATGGGAGATTCAATCACATACCAGCACCAGCATTTCTGTCACGGCCAAGATCAAGCAGACGCAGCTCATTGACCGATGGGGAAACCGTGTTCGATTGGCCGTTGTTAAGATTGTCGGGAGCGTTGTTAAACCTAGCATCTTTATGTTCAACAGGCGAGCGAATGAGCTCGTAAACCGACGGAAACGGATCATCGATTTGGTCATCGCCTGAGGCGTAAGTCTCGTCATCGTCTGAATCACAATTCTCGTCGTTTTGGGCGCGATCTTCGTCATTACTAGCGATGTAGATGGCGTCGTCTTAAGAGCGCCCAGCTTGCGAAGATTCACGATTTTGACTCAGGAGCTCTGGATCTGCTGCTGAAGGATTGTAAAATTTTTGGCTGTCCATCATATTGCCGGTAGGTAAGCACGTCTGAGTAGGAACGAATGAATGCCAGAAGACTGAAAGTGGGCAACTGGAATGTCTTCGCACTCGAGAGAACGTAGGCAACATTGGACAAATATATCTATATCGCGCAGAGCAGGAGGCCTCCACTGCAGAACCAGCAAGGAGGCTCTACTTGGTCTTGCACAGAGTGCCCCACTTGCGCCATCCCATCCAGCGGCCGTCGGAGCGCCCTCGATCGCGAACCTTTGTTCGTGATGCAGCCAGGAAGGCCGCTCCAGTCTCTCGTATGTCCTCCAATCATGCAACTGCCGAGACGGATACGAAACAGACAGGGAAGATGGCTCTCGAAGAGGCCACCTTTGCCTGCGAATCACATCTCTAGCTTCACGACACATAGACCGCGGCGTCTCCGGAGATTGCACCCATAGCAGCCTCGCTGATGTGATACGGGCTGTGTTGGTCTCCCGCCGTCGTCGCTTTCATGCACTGTGAGCCTACCAACTCGCCATGATGCCATTCGTCCTGTTGTCCGGAAGAATATCTCTGCCTAGATTGCCTGGTACGACATCAGTAAGGCCAGAGGCCACGCCATCTCATTAGATTCGCCTCGTTCCTTGCTGTGTCGACCGACATCCTCGTAGTCTCCCTTGTGTCGTTATCACGGCTCGGCAGGCCCCCTGCCTAAGTTCGTGTCTGGCCATTAACCGAACGGGCCTATGGATTGCTCGATATCTCGTAGGGATGTAGATCCGTCGTTAATGCACCATGACCAAAACAGGATTCGTCTTGAGCCAACAGCAACACCTCGGGCAAGGCCACATCATCCTAGGATGCGCCTCTTTCCCACTTCCCCTCTTTGACGTGAAGAATCAAAAAGAAACTCGGAGAACCCACTGTTGTAGCCTGATTTACCACTCGCGAATCAGGCAAGAGATGGTTATCGAATCAGAAACGTACCCCATCCTATACAGGACCTTTTCCGCAGGTTTTGTCGCAGTTGTATTCGTAATCGGTCCGACCATGACCAAGGAGGTGTCTGGTGCGTCGACGGAAATCCTGTAGTCGAGCCATGGAAAGAGCGGGCGAAGATGTGGAGGCCTCTTGATGTCTTTGCACTAGCAATACCACCGGTCCTTGTGACCAATTTGGTAGCGGCTTAGACAGGGCATACAAGCTGTGCCGAGAATCTTACAAAGGAGTATCCCCTGTGTGCCTTGTGGACGAAGAGGAACGCGGCCAAGTGTTGAGCGCAGCAAAGTTTGTTGCAAAATGCTGTAAGAATAGGTTTGCTATCGTGAAGAAAGGATAGGAAGCCCGTATTCGACTAGAGAGGTCGAGGGTGGGAAAGTTCCATAACGAGCAGAGGAAAGGAAAACACATTAGAACGACATCAGAGCGATAGGTGTGATGAATAGGGAGAAGGGGGGAAGGGGGGGCAGCGCGAGGATCCTCGCAGAGAGACAACTGCAGAAAGAAGAAGGAGGAGGAGGTGGTGGCAGAGACAGGGTCTAGGAAAAAAACCAAAGCACTGCCATGAAAGGCGGCGAGAATAAGAAAATGAAAAAAGGGAAAGAAGTCAAGAGTACAAGAGAGAGACGTCTGAAAAGAAGGGCGGTATTTATATGCGATCGTCAAGGAGGCTGCAAGGGCGGGCCAATCAGCAACAAGATACAGCTCCACATTTCCCGATTAGGACGGCCGCCCACTACGGCGGCCACAACAGTGTATTCTCCTTTACAAAAGAGAAACAAAGAAAGGCAAATATTTATTCACTCCAGTCGTCAATCTGTCTAGATAGCTGGGATCTGTCTAGATAGCTGGGAAACTGTTAGTCGTGGCGAGACGAGGTTGAACCAAAGATTCCTCCTACTTTCGTTGTCGATGTCAGGACCAGTTACCAATGCTTGGCTCTCGTAGCAAATTTTCTTCATATAGCTAATCTACCACCTGTTTGTTATGAAAAGTCGCATCCCTTGTGGCGCAATTGGCTAGCGCGTTAGACTGTTATCCACCTAATGATAGTCTATCTAAAGGTTGGTGGTTCGAGCCCACCCAAGGGAGTTGATTACTTTTTCTTGCATTTTTCCATGCTTCACTTTTTCCTTTCTCTCTCTCTCTCTGTCTCTCTCTCTCTCTGTCTCTCTCTCGCATTTCATCATTTTCGCAGCTACCAACCTGAATGTTAATTGGTAAACGTGTCCAATTTTTGATAACGTGCCGTAGTTGAATAGCGTTATTTTGGGAGATTTTTTATTTATTTCATGTTCTCGTTAAACATTGTGACTAACGTGAAGCTCATTTCCTTTGTGGACACCCATCACCTACACCCACTTTGCTTCCATTGTCATCTCTATTTTAGATTTCCGTATCATGTAGATTACCAATGGCACATAGAGATCATCTGACAAAATCCAGCGCCTTCAACCAGGGATCTCCGCATTTTAAGACAGGACGTGGCTGATCATGGCGCGGCTAGAAAGAGGGGAAATCGTCGACCTTGTCGAACCACGACACGGGGATATCTCAGACATGCAGTAAGACGATGGAACGGCAGGACAACATGACCAAACCAGAGGACTGGAGCGGCTGGCGAGCGCACTAGCTGAGAATTGTTGAGAGGATCATCGTCTCAACTTGTTTTGTCGGGATTCTGCTCGGCACTTCTTTGTCTCCCATCACCCTCTCTGTGGAGAGGAGAAACGCTCATCTTCAGATGCCTTCCTTTGAATATGAACTTTCGCCGTTTGCTCGACGATGAAGGGCTGCGCCGCTGACCCAGAATTAAATAAGAGGAAACAGGTATGATGCGGATAATCTGCTGTGCGTGGTAGCGGGTTGTAGTGAGTAACTTTAGTTGGAAAGTTATTTCTCCGCGTGGAGAAGAGGCTTGTTGTATAATCGTGATTCCTCCTTCGCGAGGCTGGGATAATTTCAAGCGAGGCCAAGCTGGATCCGCCTTATTTAATTTTGAAACTAGAGCATTGGCTCTGCGCAAAGATAATACCAGATGAGTGCCGTTCATGTGCCTTCCAGAACGATGGAAAAGTTGTTTCTCGTTGACCCGGAGCGTAGCTCCTTCTTAGTGAAGCGGGGGATGATTGTCGGTGCTGTCCGTTGGCGCGTCCAGAGATAGTACACGAGCCTCTGCGACGTCTTGGACTTGAGCAGATCGAAGCCCAGAACTGTCATCATGTCCGTCAGCTTTTCCTCGGTGAGATACCGCGAGTTGGTAACGCAAGGCTCCGGAAGCACCATGAAGACACTGGGAAAGTATTTTCGGATGTTTTCGTCAGTTGCTGGCGCCGACCCGCTCTTGGAATCGCCACCCATTGACACCATGTTAGGCTCGTGCAAGAAATCAAGACAACGAAGCAGCATCTTGCCGCGATCGCTGTGCTGAGGTACATAGTTGAGGACCAGCGACAGGCTGATGATATCGAAGCGCTCCTTGTCAGATGTCGGTCGTGGGCGTTGCAAGAAGTCCTGCTGCAGAATACCTGGGCCCTGGCTGTTGAGGTCGATGCGCTCCATCCGGAAGCAGCCACTCGCCGAGCATGCATTGTTAATGCTCAAGGCACCGACCTCCAGCATACGGAGGGGAGCCGATGATAGGAAGCTCGGTTCTGCCGAAGGCACGGACTTCATCTCAGCCCCTGTCGCCTTTTCGCCCTGGTCGAAGCCGAGCCATTGCATCAGGACCCGTGAGCTGTCGCCACCACGTTCGCGGTGCTGGCCCTGCAGACTGGCCTGCTGGTAGCGAGCCAGGCCGCCAAGGGACTCAATCTCAGCTGCAATTGCAATTTCTGCAGCCTTGTCATTTCGCGCCACAGCTTGGAGACGGCGTTTCTCAAGCTGATGGTGGCTGTTGATGAGCTTCTTGGTCGTCTTACGGGAGATGGACTTGGGCTGGTGGGCCGTCGGTGGCCGGCCGGCAGATAGGGTCTTCACCCGAGACGTCTTCTTTTTCGCACCCATGATCAGGTATATCCGATGATGGATACTTCCGCAGATTTCCCTGGAATGTCAGGACCCGTCTTGTTTGACGTTCTGTGCATTTGTTGTTCCTTGTTTGGGCCAGGCAAGGCCAAATTTCATAAGAAAGCCATTTTCGTCCGCATAATATTCGTATGAGAGGAAGTACAGTTGGGACGAATGTAAAGTAAACACTGGACGATACTCATCGTACAAAGTTAAGTTGGGATGAGAGAAGCGCTTATCGTCAGGCTGACTAACCGATAGCCAACTATGGGCCCAATTGTCATGTCGATGAAAGTCACGTGAAAACTTAAAAGTGCTAGCCCTAAGTTTTCTCACAGCGGAAAAAAATCGTTCCAGCGCCCAATTTTGGGAAGCTAGCAAAAAAAAAAAAAAAAAAATAAACCCCAAAGTTTTCTACAATTTGGGATTTGGCTTTTTCACCTGCTTCACATCTCGACAAGAAACGTAACTCGGCCTTTCACTGTACGACAAACCCTCAAAATCATTCGAGATGGCACCGAAGACTCAGACCAAGGGCAAAGGTATATATCTGGCACCATGAAGAGGCAATTTGATTGCAAAGCGCTGGTCGCTTTGTGATTGAATCCCCGTCTGCCTCTTCACCCCACAACAATGTGAACAAAACGAAAGAACTCCAAAGGAAAGCTCTGCAATACGGCGTTCGTTCGACTACGGCCTTCTCGAATTTCTCCTCGTCGATGAGCTGGTGTCTTTCCGACTGGAGACTCTTTTCCAAACTTGCAACAGCGACTTGCCCTTCTCCCTGCGTGACACTGAGGAGAGGGGAATACGTTGTGAAAGGATGCGAACGAGATGTTGGGAGAGACGGCCATCGGCGAGGCTGGAAAGAGAATGAGGATGGGAGCAGAGCAGGAGGGCAGGGTGGAGATCGAGATGACGGTGGAACACAAGATCGAGTGACATCTCTTGTCGACGTCGACTCCCGGTCTTCCCACAACCCCTCCTGCTTCCCCATCCACTATTACAATCCAACAGCGACAACCCACAGCAGCAGCAGATTTTGCGAGTTCTCATCAAAAGAGCGATTGCTGATTCTCGGCTTTGTGTATAGCGTCCCAGAAGGCTACCGCCGCTGCTAAGGCTGCCCTCAAGGGTGTAAGTTTGCTCCGCGTCAACCTTGTGTTATTAATATCATCAATACAACTGCGTACTGACCCGTTTCCCCCCTTCTCCAGGCCAGCGCCCACAAGAAGCAGAAGGTCCGCTACACGACCAGCTTCCACCGCCCAAAGACCCTGCAGCTGTCGCGTGCTCCCAAGTACCCGCGCAAGTCCATCCCCCATGCCGTCCGCCTGGACGAGCACAAGGTCATTGTGCACCCGCTCAACACCGAGAGCGCCATGAAGAAGATTGAGGAGAACAACACGCTCGTCTTCATCGTCGACGTCAAGGCCAACAAGGCCCAGATCAAGCAGGCCCTGAAGAAGCTGTACGACATTGACACCGTCAAGATCAACACGCTGATCCGCCCCGACGGCACCAAGAAGGCCTACGCCCGCCTTACCCCCAATGTCGATGCTCTCGACATTGCCGCCACCAAGCTGGCCCTCGTCTAAGCGTTGAAGAATGCTTGGGAGGTGGTGTTTGTGATTTTTTGCTGCGTGGGTTTCAAAAATGGGAAATGAATGGGATGACATGGAGTCCGCCCTTAGATGGACCAAAAAAGAATTCAAATCTACATAAAAATCGAAAAATATGGAAACTCAATCAGCACCTTCCTCTTACTATCTATGACACTTTATGATTTATTTGTTTCGTAAGGAAATGCTGCCGTTGTTTTTCGACGAATACTTTTGGTATTATGTGACTGGTGCAACTTAACGAGGTGCCTCTATGTGAAGGCGCAATTTTGACTTGCGTCTCAAGAGGTTGCTTGACTGGTTTTTGTATGTGGAGTTGAATTATTCTCATTTTTGTTGTAATTTGAGGATGCTCGCAGATAATGTGACGCGTTGCCCATATAATAGTAGTATCCTCTCCTGCGCTAAACTGATGTCTAATGGTATATGCCGTGATTTCCTACCATATCGTATACTCTTCGTCATTGCCAGCCCGTTCTCCTCCGTAATATGTAACGTGAAGCTGAGTCTGATATATTCTTCAGCCATCGCAGTGCGTGCCTCAGCCATGTGCTCGCTGCTCATTCGAGTGTGCTCATTCGAGTGAACCATGTTTCCCCCTTGCCCCCGCCCTACTTGTTGCTCCAAGCCTTAATGCTGCTGCTGCATGTTAGACAGCAGCTTCGCCGTCAGGATGTTCAGGTCCAGAAACCGTTCGACGCAGTTGCTCATGCAGCCCTCCTCGGCCTTGTCCAGCGTGTTGCTCTTGACAGGGCTCGTGACGCACTTCTTCCAACACAGCTCGGTAAGATTGTGGGTTTCTGACAGCGACTAGTTAGCAAGAAGACCGGAATACAGAGAACAGAAAACGTGCCGATACAGCCTAGGGTTAAACAAAGTAAAACGTACGAGCCTGCACCCGTGTGCGCTGCGTCTGGGTGTTAACAAACTGGCGCAGCTCCTCCTTCTCCTTGTCGGAGAGGTTGTTGATGGCCGAGGCGTCAAGGCTGGTTGCGCTCATTTTGTGTGCGTGTCTTCCGGTTTCGTTTGATTTGAGATTCAAAACTCGTCTTATCGTAGACCACGTCGCTGGATTAGGCTATTTTACAAGCGGTGGTCGTCGTGGGCAATCGGCATTTGGTGATGCTGTGGCAGTCAAACTGTTGGAGGGAAAAAATCGACGAATTCCCCAGATTTCTTATCTAATCACCACAGAACCTCACTAAATAAGGACGCTATCACCACGTGATGCAGGTTTCAACTTGTAACCAAAGAACAGGTCAAATATATCGTCCACATTAAATGCAACAAGGCCTCAGATGGTATTTTGATTTTGATATTTTTTTTATTATAGTAAAATGTACCACCTCCTTCTACAACTCCTTTATCACGGCCATCTATAAGATATAAACGTCGAAAAATCAGACGAAAGATATCAACGTAAGAAAAAACAACATAAAAGAGGCGCTGTATTACAAAGCACCTACTTAAGCAAACCCTGTCTTGTATGATATCCAAAAAAAAAAGTAAGATCCGTAGAATCAGACAGGCATGAGCACTTTGCAAGAACATTTTGCAAAAGGCGCTCCAAAAAACAACTCAAATCAAAGACAGAACATAACTTAACGACAAAACGGAGAGAGCAAACAGAGTCGTATCGAACGAGCGGCACAAGGATTCGCAGCGAATGATGCGAGTCGCCCCCTGAGTACAGGGCACGGGAATTAGATGTACCGCATCCGTCTGGCAACAATGAGGGCGAGAATACAAAAGGTAATCATAACACCCACAATGGTAAAGAAAGCGCCAAGGTCGTCATAATCCGAGACGATGAAAGGAACCTTGACGTTCATACCAAAGAGACCCGTGATGACGTTTAGGGGAACAATGATGGACGCAATGAAGGTGATCTTGCTGAGCACACGGTTCGTGTTTGTGCCTTGCGAGATGCTGTCGATGGAGAGCTGGGCGAGGTAATTGCTGTGCGTGCGCGACAGCATCTTCTCGCAGTGGCCCAGGTTGTTCATCATGGTCACAACGTGATCCTGAATGTCACCCAAGTACAGGCCAATGTCCATGCGGGGAGTCACCTTGTAGTTCTCGTTGCACCGCTTCGTGAAACCACGGAGCACGTCGGCCTTGCCGCCTAGGAGACGCATGAGGCCCATGACGTTCTTCCGTGTGTTGCCAATCTTGCGGAGAAAGCGGTGCATGTCGTCGGACCGTGCAACGAAAACTTCGTCCTCAAGATTCTCAGTTTGCAGCTCTGTGTTGTGGATGACGGGAGCGAAAGAATCCACAATGTCGTCGCTGGAAGTCAAAAGGTTAGTAACTGTCACACTACAAAGTGCACACGAAGAGGGGGAAAAGTCGCGTCGCAGCTTACATGAGAGCGTAGCAGATCCAGTCGCTGCTCAGTGCGACATAGTCCTTAAGGAGAGAAATGCGCGTTCTGACCTTGGAGGCGTGCGAGTTTGGTGCGAAGCTGAAACTCAGGGTGCCTTCGCGGAACACGATCACGTACGTGTGGAACGGTTCGTATTCGATCTCGCCGTCCTCCTCCACAACGACATTGAAGGACCGGAAGCAGGCAAAATAGTAGGAGGGGAAAAGCTCAATTTTTTCGCGCGTCTCCTGTTGGGTGATGTCTTCCACCGTCAGCGGATGGACACCAAACGCGCGGCAGATGGCGCGGGCTTCTTCTTCAGTGGGGCTGTTCAGGTTCAGCCACCAGACACCGTCCGTCTCGCCCTTGGGGAACGAGAACAGACCGCGGACATCTTCGTCCGGAAGGACAAGGCCAGAAAAGTCGGCCGAATGGATCGTCGACTCCCAAGCCGACGAGAAGAAGCTGTAGCGGTTGGGATCAACTGGATGACCAGCGTGGGTGCGATGGGTGCTGGCGGCGTCGCTTTTCAGCTTCTCCTTCTCCTTGTCCTCGTTGGCGAGCGCCAGCTTTCCGGTCGCCTTCTCATCCTGAACACCGGAGAAATCCGACGGCGCACCGATGAAGTCGCCTTCCGCAGTGACCATGGGCGACTGCGCGACGGTCTCGTTGGTCACCTGGGGACGGAGATCAGGAAATATGCGCTCCTTGGCACGGCGCTCTTCCTCGGCGATTTCACGCTCTTCTCTCTCGATCCGCATGAACGTCTCGAGATAGTCAAAGTCGATATGCAGGTTATCATCGTGATGCCCATCAGAGACAGGGAAGCACACATCTTCTTCAGCTGAGTTGTTGGAGGAGAGGCTGGCAGCATCATCATCCACAAGGATCGTGTGAGGGCGGCTCCGAAGGCTGCGGCGACTGCGACGACTGGCAATCGAACTGGTGCGGTTGATGCCACCGTGGGCAGCTGTGCTCTCATGCTCGCCCTCTCTCTCAGGTCTGTTTCCAGTGAAGGATACGTCACGCTCACGACGGCGTGCCTCGGCAAAGGCCTTGACCGAGTTGGGAGGCGACGCGGAGCGCTTCTCGTGGTCGTCCTCGGCAATGTCGTCATCCACCACAGCCTCCTCGAAGTCGCGGACGCGGGTACCAGACTGGAGTTGTTGGTCCATCTGGCTTCCATAGAGCGAATCAAAGGTGCCCCGTCGGGGCCGGCTATTGCGGTGGACAGTTGGCTGCCGGTTGCGGTGGTCGTCGAGCTCCGGGACTGGGGTGTCGTACCCGGTGTCGGAAACATTCTCCTCGTGGTCAGACATCGTTGCTGCTGGCGGTATACTGAGCCGGGTTGCTATTTGTATCTCGGGTCCGAACGAGATGGCGGGCGATGGTCCGTGACAGGGTTGTTTGCGACTTCGATTTCGCTTGACGGGCGGGCTAGCTTGCTGGTCTGGGACTGGGTCTGGTCGACGTGCTCTTGGCTAATGGACTCTGCTCTTCTACTACTCCACAATAGAGCGCTCAATTTCACTCGGGGGAAGCCATTCACGGAAAGTGTACGGCGCCGGCGGACAGCGGCGTGCGGCTTTGGGCCGCAAAGAAACCGGGTAGCGTTGTTTGTCCCCTATTCTTTCCTGTCCGGCGAGTGCAATATGCAGCTACACAGGGAGTCAGAACAGAGAGCAACGCACGATGATGAAAAAAAGTTCGGAAGCCACGCAATCCGTATGTCGGGTTTGTCGGTCGGACAAGTTATGGAGGCTTCTTGTTCACTCCGCTGTAGACCCAAAACTTGGGGCCGAGGAGCGAACGGGAGAGGGTGAGGCGAGCTGCGCTGGGTCCCGCCAACTTGACGACTGATGGGATTTCGAGTGACGGAGGTGTTGTTTCGTCCGGAGACAAAAACGGAGAAAGTGTCGAAAGTAGAAGCAGATCGTACAACGAAAGCAGATACGATTCAAGGGTAGCGGAAGCTGATGAGGTAATTGCCGAAGGGTTGACGGGGAAAATCGGCTGCAGTAAGGTAGCCAGGAGGGATGGTTTGCGAGATTGAAAGCTACAAGTAGCCGGTGTAGAGGTTCCGAAGTCAACGATCAGAGACGTCAATCGACTGTGTTGTAGTTGTAATAATAGTAGTTGCTGTTGTTGTTGTGAGAGTGATGCGCAGTGTTGCGGATCGAAATCGACAAATGGGATGTGAGATAAAGGGAGGTGGTTCAAGATTGGAAATCGGAGGTATATATCATGTGAAAGGGTTTCCCTTGAAGATAAAGGGAACTCTAGAGAATCAAATGGCTTGACAATTCAGTATTGACAGAAGGAGAAAAAGTGGTTGCGTTTGTTCAAGTTAAAGGAAAAGGGAGCAAAATTGTTGATATTTGGAGAGAAGAAGATAGGATCGTTGTGACAGCGAGAAAGTGGGTGGGTTAGACCGCAATGAAAATTCTTGTTTTTCCCTTTCCTTCTGGCGGCGAAAAATTTACTTGTGACGGTGGTACGAAATAGAGGGTGGCCAAACGGCGCTATCCTGGTTTTTGGGGGCGTCGACGGGGTATTACAGGGCATTGTCTGTAGGGGTGAGCCCTGTCAGCACAGGCGCTCAAGATTTTCCTAGATAATTACAGCACCGGCCACTCCTTGGCCTAGAGCCACCTGCAAAACATGTTCTCCTCTTTCGGATGAGCAGCTCTTGTCACTGGCCAATGAGTATCTTACGGCCAGAATCGCCTGGACGGGCTCTCGTTTGAGTCCTATCCACAAGCCTTGCCGGCAAAGGGTATCCTACGCCGTGTTGTCGGCCCCTCCTCTCCTCGTCTTTCCCTCTTTAGAAAGCTGCTCAACCTTCTGACTCTTTCTCTCCAAGACTTGAAGCGGTCATGAGCTTTGTGTCTTGAACGGCGCAAGCCACCACAAAGTAGTACTCTGGTCTTCGTCCATCGTTCCCACCCTACTCTGTCCTTGCATGACAGATGGCCCAGTTCTAGGAGACTGACACAGCAGCTTGTCTACTGATTACGCTGCGCCAGACCACACCGATGACTGTGGGCCGGGCCAGATTGAGTGGCATTTAGTAAGGGTGAGAAGCGTGTGCCAGAGGAACAGCGTTTTATTCGCGAGCGACACGCCAATCCACAAAGAGGGTGCGAGGCGCAAGCTGAGTCGACGTCCCTGACTCTCTGGCTGTTTGCCGTTTTCCATCTTCGTTCGTATCGTCAAACGCTCTTTCCTTCGTACTTTTTGCTCGTCTCATTTTCCGTCATCGCATTTTCAAACACGTGGTGTTACCGCGTCTCATTGTTTCTGATTTCTATGTCCAGATCTTCTTTTTCCCGATCTCTTTTTTCCAGATCTCTTTTTTCCAGATGTCCTTTTCCAAAAGTCCTTTTCCAGATGTCTTTTTTCGCACCTCTATTTCGCACATAGTCTTTTTTCCTCATCGCTGTTTGCCATCACATTTGCCACTTTCTTTCGGAGCGACCGCGGCCTGAGCTCGGGACGGCAGATGCGACCTGCATGTAAAAGACTTCCCAAAATACTGTAGTACAGAGCAAGTAGTGATATTCAGCATGAGGTGTGATGAAATGTGGCTGCTGCTACAGCGCGGCATATAAAAAGCCTGCAGAAACTCATCGATTTCTCCCAATCAACGTCGACCATAGACGGATCGTAGGAGGTTGCCCATTTTCCATCTCGTTTATCACGCATTTTGTATGGGCAAGCGGACATTGTGTTGGTCCATGCCCAGCATCTTTTGCGTACATACGAAATACCGACATCCGGAACATCTGGTCTTGGCGTGAGCCGCACAATGAAGTGAGTCTGGGCTAGTCAATTCAGTGGGTCCGGTGAATGTACCCCTAGGTACCCTATCTCATAAGTACGGCCGAAGAGGACCCGTAGATACAGGCGTGAAGCCACGTTGGCGACTGGCTGTCAGTAGCCACAATGAGCGTCCACCAGGGCTTTTGTGCTTGGGCTGTCGCGCGTTCCAATGCTTTGCTCCACGCTGCACGAAGCTACGCCAACGACGACGACCATCGCGACTGCAGAAAGGTAGCCGCACTCTGTTGCCTGAGCCTTATCGGAACAAAACAGACACACGACAGCACATTCCTCCCGAAATTCTGCTACAGAGACGACGTCATGGCCGACCAGCTGCTCGACCGAGTTCGCGACTTCGCCGAAGGGCAGATTGTACGTCATCAGATATCGTCCCAGACACCGATATCAGGCAAGCGCGCGAACTACATGCTAACTTAGACGTAGGACTTCGAGGGCCAGAGACTCTGCGATACCCTGGCAACTGTCCTTCTCTGCGCTGTCGGTGTACGTGTCCCCAATCTTTCCCGACCTGGCCACCCTCCCCTGGCGTTTTGCTAACTTGCACGTCCCTGTCGCAGGCCATCACCTTTGTTGTCGGCTACGTCCTGCAGGATATTAAGCTTGCAGTCTACATTGCGCTTGGTGGCACCGTCCTGTCATTCGTCGCCATCATTCCGCCTTGGCCCTTCTTCAACAAGCACCCCGTCAAGTGGCTTCCGGTCGGCGGAGGCGGAAGCAGCAACAACCAGAACATAAGCATACCGCAGTCCATCGTTGTCGATGAGAAGGCACTTCGTTGAGCACAACAATGCGATCGGAGGGAAGTGTAAATGAGTGCATGACGGCAGAACAGCGGGTATGTCCTGGCCCGGGCAAAAAGCGTGGCGTTCATGATCGCAACATATTGGAGCTCTGCAGAATGGGACATACATGTTGCGAAACAAAAAAAGGATTGTTTTTTTATAAAAAAAGGAGAAGAATACATGCTTAGCAAAGTTATAAACCACTATTCCATCGTTCGATAATGCGCCCGCTCCTCTCTGGCGGGATCGGGACGACGGGTCTTCACTTCATCTATTCCATAGTTCCGTGCAATGGTGGATAGTCATTCCACCAAGGCCATTCTGAATGAGCTTTGGCATCATGGAGTAGGAGTGCACTCCATATATGCCACGAAGGCTGCTGATGCTCTTTTGTCCGGTTCATCTATCATCTTCCACCATTGGACAGTCCATAAAAGGTGAGAGCACACGTCATCCGAATAGTTCGACCCACACCTGTCAGTCTGCTGCCCGGCTCGGGCGAGGCTTTGGAAGGTGAAGCATCGCGTGCTGGTCGTTTCATTAACGGCCGTACTTCTGGAACTCCCAGTCTCGGTTGTCGAGAGGACACACTTGGCGGGCCTTGAGCCAGCGGGAGATGCAATGGAAGTGGAATGCGTGCTTTTAAAAGCAGTTAGCATAGGCTCTGAGAATGTACTTCGGGTGAGGATGAGACGTACGTTGCAAATACCCCAGGCGACGGTGCACTCCTCACTGGTCGCCGATGACTGGTTCGCTTGACATTCTATGCCTGATCAGAGGGAGAGATACGCAGTTAGTAGGCAGTTACAGTCGGCAAGACGAGCACAGAAAGAAACCCATATATGAAAATACTTGCACAAATCCATGATGTGATTTCTGCAGATGGCGCAGTTGTCGACGACGATGTCCCACGCCCACAGAGCAACGGCATTCCACTGCAGAGAAGGAAACAATAGTCAGTACTCGTAGGGCCATCTAAATTTGGATCTATGGCCATCCGGCAGCTCCACATACCTTCTTCACCTCGAAGCGCTTCTTATCATCGAGGGTCTTGCCAGGCTCGCCGGCAGCGCCGGTCTTCTTCTTCACGACGGCACCTGACGGCGGCGCGTCAGCCATGTCCACGTCGGCCATTGTGTGTACTGTGGTAGGGGTGCAGATGGTCGGAATGATGGATGTCGGTCGATCTGCGTTCTCGAAAGTTAGCCTCCGTGCCATCAAGGAGCTGTGAGGTGGGGAAACGGTGGACAAAAGCAAGTTGCTCGGGGACGACGATGCATTCCCGCCCGGAGCGAAAGCAATAGGAAGTTGTTCCAAGCTTTCGCCAAGCTGCGGTACGGCCGTCGTCCTCGCGTTGCGCGTCCTCCATTGAAAGTGGCTTACCAAGTCGCCAAAGTTCTTCTGATGATACTCAAAAGGCGCCTGCGTATAAATCGGATCGGTTGGCGGATCAGACGTAGCAAGAAGATCGGAGTACCTTGGATATTTGGGATAAGGAGCGTATTGGCGCCCGTCGGCATGCGAGAGTCAAAAAATATGTTGGGATGGATGGATCGTGTGTGGTTGACAAGGCCGCCGAATTCTCAAGGTTCGCAAGGCAAGCAAGGCAAGCAAGGCCAGCCCCGCACGATACGTCGTCAGTGTTATCGAATTGCCCCAGGTGAATAAAGGCGGTCTGGCTAGGAAGAGGTGGGGGCCATGTCAAGCTGAAGGCGCCCATGATTGGTGCTCTAAGTCTGGGCCTTGCCACCCATAAGTTGTCCTGGGCCTGGCCATGTGCTGGTCGTTAGGCGGCTCCCTGGCGGTGTGGTAGGTGGCCGCTCTTGCTTCATTGGCCAGGTCAACCTAGCTCAACTGAACATTGCCTCTCTATGTTGCAATAACAAATAGCGACTTTCGCGCACTCCTTCCAGCACAGGATGCCCCGCCACCGCGCCTTTGTGACTCCACGGCAACAAACAAATTCCGTGCCTTCCCAATCCGCCTTGTAGCGCTGCGTCGTGGCATTCCGTTAGTATTGCGCGCTGTGAGCTCGTTCCCGCCGCCTCCCTTACTCGTTTGCTCTTTCCTCCTTTTGAACGTTCATTTGACGACTCACATTTCCCCTTCTTCCGACATATCAATAAACATCGTCACTCCTTCAACCGCGGGCCCTCTTTGACGCACACCGCCGGCACCTTTCCTTCGTCCGCCGTCTCTCCGTCTATCACGGTATGTCCGTTCTCTATTTGATGCCCTGCGTCCAATTGACATGATGCTGGACCGCGTGGCTAAATCATGTATATCTAGCGACAAGAGCCAGGTCTTTCCTCGGGCTTTTTCATAGCGACAACAATCTGCTTCCACAGCCCACGATAGTAGCCTTATCATCCCTGCCTCTAATTGCGCAGACCTAGCCTTAAGCTGTCCTTCAACGCCCTGGGTTATCACCTCTCCGGCGGCTCCGACGCAAGGTCTTGTGTCTCTAGTTCATACTGAACCGGATCCTTTTCGACTGTCTCCTATAGACTCCATGTCACCTAGCAGCGTGTTATCTTTTCAAGTATTACAACAGCCCATCAGCGGCCAAACATATTACCTTTCCTTTCGATCGAGCCTAGACCAGTTTTCTACCTCAAAGTTTACAACACCCACAACTGCCTCTGATGCCGGACCCTCTACCAACAGAGGTGAAGCAGACGCCTAACCGCCGCAAACCTGGCGCTGGCAGCCGTCGGCCTAACCGCAAGAACTACGCTTCCGAAAACGACGTGGCTAAGGCAGATCCTACCTTCCAGCCGGACTTCGCCCACGATAAGAAGAAGAACAATAACGGCCCGGGGCCATCGACACCCCAAAAGACGCAAAAGAATGCCGTCTCTTCGAAAAGCCCAGCACCAGCCTCACAGGCTGCCTCTGGCAAGGCGGGCAACCGCAGCAACAGGAACCAGCAGAACAACAACCCAAATTCTCCCTCGGCCAAGCCCGGTCGACGCACGCCTCCTCACACGGTTGGTCCAAAGCCTGCAGGAGCCGCTGGTTCCGTCGCAGCTTTTGCCGGTGCAACATTCCATGCCTCGCCTGCTCCCTCGTCCCTGCCGCTGCCCAGCTTCTTCACAAAGGCAGACTCTCCGGGAACACCTAGTGCTCGTCCTTTGAGCGGTTTGAGCCAGCAGCCATCGCCTCCCGCGTCGGACACCGAACTGCCGTCTGCCACTGCGACTAATGCAGCCGACGCACCCTCAGCAGCTCGCCGGAATCCTCTTTTACCGACTAGCGGTGCTGGCATCCCACATGCTCGGGACGAGTCCCCTCTCGACATCCTGTTCCGGGCTGATCGGGCTGAAAAGGAACGAAACAGGCGGGCGAGCTCGGCAAACATCTACGGGGCCCCTGTAGGTCCTTTCTCCCCGCCTTTCCAGTCGCAAGCAATGGCCGACAATTCAAACAGCAACACCTTCCCTCGCGATCTTGCACAGCAGCAGCAGCAGCAGCAGCAGCAGCAGTCGACGCGCCGGCCAGGCCCGACCTTACGCAATTCGAGTTCGGGGATATCCGCTGCTGAACTTGACGGGACGCCTGGTCAGCCCATGGGTCCGGCTTTTTCCACGCCGTTTCAGGATCGCATTCGCGCCGCCCGTCCAGCGGAGAGCAATGGCACCTCTGGCCCAGGGACTCCGGGAGGTTTTAGAGACCTTGCAGCTGGAACTGCACCCTCTCCGCTTGCTGGTGTGCCCTACAACCAACAACTCCCTGCGGCCAGTGTTGATGACCGCAGCGAGGCCCTGAAGAGATTTCTTTTCTCAAAGACGGGTGCTTCTGCGCCGTCGCCCCCCGTACACCCCACGGCGTCTGCTCCCACCACCCCTACTCGGTATCCCGGCCAACCTGGAGGCGCTCAACAGCCACCGATGTACAACGGCTCGCCGTACCAGAACATGTACTCTACATCGTCTGCGAATGGGACGCCTAACCATCAAGGCTACCCCAATGGTCGGCCTCAGGCGACCCCGAGCCGGCCAAACGGCGGCAATGGTGGTGGCTCTTCTCATATTGCGGCCATGGAGGACAGCCTTCGCCAGATCCTTAAGCTGGATTCACCTTTTGGCGGGGCCCCGTCGCCTGGTATCTACCGCCAATCTTAGCTATCTGATCTCTCTGGTTCCGACTCGCTCATGAGCGAAAGATCAAATAATCTTGTCAAAACGGCGCTCATTTGTGACTCTCGTTTGGCCGGACTTTGATCCTATCTAGCAGCACAATTATTTTACGCTGCCGCTAGCTGTTTATACGTTTTTGGCTTTTTTTCCGGTATTCATTTCCTTTTTTATGTCTTTTTGTCATTGCTTGAGGATATGTCCTTTATTACATTGGCGGGAACAGGGATCTCTTTCGACGGTTCTCAATTTTACATTGCGAGCGGCGTTTGTTTACTTTCCGTTGCCGTGCATTCGAGATGTCTCCTTATGTTTTCTTTTATTTCATGACTTTTTGGCCCTATTTCATATTTCATGCCCTAACTTCTCTATTTTCACGTTTCCTTTTTTTTGTCAATTGTTTTTTCATTGTCATCTGTTATCATTCATAGCTGTCTTTCACCGCTTGATATACCGTCTGTCTGTTCTTCTGCTCCTAGACAGCCATGGTGCCTGCTTGGCTTGGACTTCAACGGATGTCTTTACGTCACAGTTGACGGTAGACGGCACATGATCAAATGGGAACCGGTGACGGGAGAGACGGCACGGTTTGACCTCCGTTTCGCTCTATTCCACATGGACATGAGCTTGCCAGCATGTTCTATTCTCAATTTCCTTTGTCACTGTTATTTTCTTCATTGTTTTGTCCTCTTTGTTTTATTTCACATTGTTTGTTTTAATGTACGTGACGCAGTTTGGGACCGAGGCAGTTGAAACACTTACTGGCATGGAATTGGGTCTTCGTTCATCGTCTGTTATGTGGCTCAGACAGGACAGGTCAAGGGTTCTAGGAAGGATATGGGGGAGTGTGGCGGATTGTGGTTTATTTGTCATCTTTTAGGACCCGAGGCCCAGGCGCAAAACTGCATCCGGAGTTTGTCAGGTTTGTTTTTCTGCTCTTTGCATATGTCAAAGGGACAGCGCCTTGCTTATGAAGGATTCAGGCAGCTTTGAGGCGTTTTGGTCCATGTGACAGTCACCCAGCGATAGGTTTTTTTTCTTCCTCCGTGCTTTTGCTTTACACCTTGATGCACAACTCATCAATCCAATTGGCCTTCGCACCGGGAAGGAGAATCCGAGAAGGAGACTTTGCTCTAATCTTTCGCTCTCATTCTATCACCATATGCTGAGCACATCACATCGACTTCGATATCGACTTCGACTTCGACTTCAAATCTAGGATAACGGTGATTTCCTGACAGAATCCCGTTTTTCGCTTGGAGAATCAGGAGGAGAAAGAACGAAGCAGTGCGGGATCACATCGATGCCTTTCGGGGCAAGGTGGTTCATGGGGCAGTGCACACCATGGAAAGGCACAACAACACATCACACACTGAATATTGAACGAAAACAAAAAAAAATCCTAAAATAAAAAATAAAAATTCCTCGGGTGGTGGATGCAGTTTGGAATTTGTCTTCACCTAGGCGACAAAGCAATCTCTAAAAGACATGCGCCTATCATTTTCTAGATAGTTAAATCATATGCAAAGGAGCCGCCCATTTACCATAAACATGACCTTGTAAGCTACCATCGTAATCCCATGTGTTTTTGCTAGCCCTGACGTAAAATGTGGCCGTTTGAGTAAACAAGTACATGCGCAGTTTCGGCAGAGGGTGACTAATCGTCACGTGATCGATTTTCAAGGACGTCAACAGCATCTTCAAGTCAGGAACAAACGGAGTTGATGGAACCTAGTTATGAATCTTCGGCTCACAATGTACCGAACCCTTACAAACAAACGGAAGTAAAAAATACATTGCCGCGCCTTCAAACCCGAACAGAAACGGCATCTCTAGAGACGCAGTAAGTGACCATTTGGCGCCTCCCTCCTAGAGACCTTGCAGTCACTGCTACTTGCTTCGTGTGTGTTTTTCCCTCCGATGTTTACTCTCACCACCCCTTGTTTATTTCCCATATTGATTTTAATGTTCTGACGGCGTCTTCATTAAAGTTGTGATCACAGCTGTTCATGCTGTATCAACATGCTAACTTTGCAATTGACTGCTTCGAGATATTTAACTTCAAACTCTAATCCGTGAACCTTGACACGCGTTCAAGGCATATAAATTTGTATCGGCGCACATCTCCTATCCTCTTCTCTTCTTCTTTATTTTCCCGTCTTTATATAACATGGACGAGCTGGCCTTGCGCCAGCTCAACGGGGACGAAGACGAGGACGAGGCCTTGAGACGCGCTTTGGCCCTTTCCATGGGCGATACTGACGGAGCACCCGGAACAAGCGGTGAGTATACCCGTGACGCTATATCTCGATGAAACAGAAGGAAAACCAAGGGCGAAAAGATCTGGGAGCAGATGTTAGCAAGGAAAACGAGGTGCGAGGTTGACTTTTGGCTGACATAACCAGATGACACAGGTGCCAATAGCGACTCTGGCGCCAAATCACGTGTCCACGTGAGGTCTCTATCCAATGCCACTACAGCATCCACCGCGTCCACCGCGTCGCTATCGCCGCCGCCACCCAGGCCAGAGAACAGTGATGCATCACCAAACATTGCTGCGGGCCTCACGAAACCAGATGGGCCAACTGCGACGGATGCACCTGCTGGTCCGATCGATGCTGCTGCGTCAGTGACTGTACCTGCCATGTCGCTGCTCAATCTCGATCGAAAAGCCATGGAGGCAGAGCGCTTGGCACGCCGACAAAAAGCTCTGGATGCACAGCAATCTCAAAATGATATCGCAACGGGGGCAGAGGCAAGCAAAGACAATACTCAACGTCTTTTGAAGAAGGAAGGCCATGTAGCCCAAACGTGGAAATTGCAACGGTCGCCCAAAAAGAGAAAGGCAGAAGATGACATTATTGTCATCGATGATGACGATGACGACGAAACCGAGAACGCAAAGGGCGACAGCAAAGAAGGCACAAAAGGAAGCGACGACCGAAGAAAAGAAATTCAGCAACCCGATTTATATCCCGTTCCCAGACGACGCAAGATCGATTTGGAGGAAAGCGAAAGCAGAAAGAGCACAGCAACGTCACATTCTCGCGAAAGTTTCAAAGGTCAGCTGGCTGGCCCTTCGGGTGCAGTTGTCTCTGCACCGTCATCACCCCACCTTCCTTACGCCAGAGGTGTAGTGAAGAAAACCTGGGTGCGCGGTCAGCCGCGGCGCGGTGACGACGTCACGATCGAAGAAGTTTGGCAAAAGGACGCTCTGGAATTGGCTGTACTCAGCTCCTTCCAGTGGGACGAAGATTGGATGATGTCGAGACTGGACACGCGACGGACACGCGTCATGCTGATTGCATATGCCGCTGACGATATTCAGGTGCGTTCTACTTTTTACAGTCAGCTCCGGTGTGCCAGAACCTTGTTGTCAGCACCATATTTCATCGCCCCCGGCGCTTCAGTAGCGGCTTCAAAGTGATACCTCGGGTGCGGAGGCGAGGGTACGTGTTTTGTAAAGACACCCTCTCCCTCATGCTAGCTCGAGAGACATTGTGAGGCGTCTGTCTGGACATTCGGGCACAGTGTACTTGAGAATAATACTTGCAAAAGTATTTGGTGGACTCCTAGCTCTCGTCTGCTTGTTTTCATCGTGACGTGGGAAGAAGCACAAAGTGCTGTTCTAACTAATTTTTTTTCGACGAACAGAAAGAGCAAATGAAGGCAAACTCGCAAGGAAGTAACATCCGCTTCTGCTTTCCACGCGTGCAGACGATGGGCCATATGCACTCGAAGCTGCAGCTCCTCAAGTTCCCAGGCCACCTACGTATTGCGGTGCCTACGGGCAACCTTGTCCCTTATGACTGGGGAGAGTCGGGGACTCTTGAGAACGTGAGTGCTTTTTTTCTGTCAAATCGGAAAGACAGAGTTAGGACAGAGAGACCCCAAGACTGAACCCCTCCCTACGGGATTCCCTCGGAACGTTAACGGCGCTGTTACAATCTGGGGCAATTTGACCTTGTTTCGCTCTTTCCTGGCGTTTTGACATCGGATCGCTCTTTCTTTGCAAATCACAATTACACAAACTGACATAAGCCATGCAGATGGTATTTCTTATTGACCTGCCAAAGTTGCCAAAAGGCAGATCGGCGGAAGGTACAGGCACGCCGTTTATGGAGGATTTATCCTACTTCCTTACAGCCCAGGGTGTGGATGCGGCGATGGTGCAGAGCCTTCACAGTTACGACTTTTCGGAGACTGTCCGATATGCCTTTGTGCACTCCATGTACGTTTTTTTATATTTTAATTTCGGTTCCATTTTGGTTTTGATTTGTTTGTTTGTTATACATAGCCTCTGTATTTACTGACTGAAATCAGATCTGGCTCTCACATGGACGAGTCGTGGAAACGCACAGGCTACAGTGGTCTGGGTCGGGCTGTCAAGGCCATGGGATGGGCATCAACAGATCCCATTCAGGTCGATTATATTGTCAGTTCAGATCTCTTTTTCGTTTTTCAGAGCTTTTCATGATTGTTTACCTATGGCCATACTGACCTTTTTATGCTGGCAGTGCTCCTCTGTTGGCTCCGTGTCTGACGACTTGCTCAACGCATTGTACTTTGCCTGCCAAGGTAAGTAGGCAGTCGCTGTCATTCACCACTGCCGCGCCTTCGAATTTCATTTCAATGTCAAATTTCAACAAAATAAACATAAACAACAGGACGTAAATGTTAACATAAAGGTACCTAGGCGATTCCGGTTTAAAGGAACTTGATGCAAGGATGAGAAGACCTCGTGGTGGAAAAGGAAAAAGCTTTGCTGCACCGGCGGCTGCGCCTGTTAACCCCAACAGCCCACAAAACTGCCTACGATTGTACTTTCCGTCGGACGAGACAGTGGGAAGCAGCATCGGGGGCAAGAATGTGAGTCCATGTCTGGTTCTGCCTTCTCAGAACCGACAAGTTGCAGTTTCCAGGGCATTAATTTGTTGACGCTTTGGTTTGTTTCTCTGTTTCCCAGGGCGCAGGTACGATCTGCTTTCAGAAAAAATGGTGGGAAGCCCCCTCCTTCCCAAAGGCGATCCTTCGCGACGTACAGAACGTCCGCACGGGTGTGTTGATGCACACCAAGCTTCTGTTTGTACGCTTGGGATGTAACTCGCAAGAGAGTGAGGCAAGCGATGCGGCTCGCCCGGGCCCGCGTGGATGGGCCTATGTGGGCAGTGCAAACATGTCCGAGAGCGCATGGTGAGTCGTGGGCGATACACCGTCTCGAGATCCGAGAGCGGTTTCTTTTTTGTACCCCTTCATTCCCCGCCATACACCAATACCCTCTCCCTACGTTCTCCCCACGGAAATCTTCTAACATGTTCACAAAGGGGCCGTGTTGTCAAGGATCGGACGACAGGAAAAACAAAAATAACATGCCGCAACTGGGAGTGTGGTGTTTTGGTCCCTGCTTTTACGGAAAACGATCATGGCCATTCTGTGTCGACTACGATGGGAGAAGACGAGAAAATGTTTGACATCTTCCGCAATGTACTGCCGGTACCCATTGTGGCACCAGGCATGAAGTACAATGTCGACTCACTGACGGGCATAATAAAGCAACCGTGGTTTTTTATGGACAGGTGATCGATGACTAGGCCATATCGGGCTCCTGATACGGCCAAGGCTACCGGAAACGCTGGGGACAGTATTCATCTCTGCGCCCCCAACAGACAGAGAAGCTTAGTTGTGCGTTCGTCATGCACACAGCCAACCATTTGCAATCACGATCAAAACAAAGTTGCTGGAGATTAGGCCAGAGACAAGATCCGTTTCGTACCTCATTGCTCGAACAACGCACCCCAGAACATTAGTTTCCAAAGACTTGCATTCATAATAGGCCTATCTTGTAGAGAAAAATCCAGGCTTTCAATTCGTACCCGTATCATGCCCCTTTTTGGCTGCTGCAGGTCGACTTTCGTACACAATATTTTGGATCAGTACAAACAACGCTAGTCCCATTTGGGAAGTGTGTTTGTAAGTTGTGCCCATCCAGCCAATCAGAACCCCGCACTTAACCGCCCCTTATTCTCATGGCTAACATTCTTTAATTCGCCAACCATCAACACAATTGCCGAAGGCCAATGAACGATGCCTAGGCCGTTTTTGTTCAAGTACCCTGAATACATCGTGGGAAAGGTGTTTCTGACAGTTTGACCACGGTCGTGCTCAATTTAACGACCATTTTGTGGCAAAGTCCGGAGCAATAAATCTGGTCTGGTCAGGTTTGGTTTCCTTTGCGTCGCTTTGGGATCTCATGAAACTTGAGAAACCGTTCACCGTAACATTCCAAATATGTTGTATGTATTGGTGCAAAATAAATCATGGCATATACAATTGTCTTTCATTGCCGCCTTTGGTAAGACACAGAGCTCGATACTCCAAGGACTGCGAGTTCCAGTACAAAAGTTGTCACTCTCTTCACCAACCTGCTGTTTCTGATGGTATCGTTCTAAAGAGTCATTGGCAATATTCTGTGCCATAACAGAAGTCACAGCTCCGTGTGAACGAAGTATCTGAAGTAGTTACCACCGTGCGCCGTGCCCAACAAGAGCGTCTACCGTCGTACCTTCATCCATCTCCTTGTACCTTTCCCCCAGTACCTGCAATAAGAAACGGACGTAGTCCACGCCTCCCTCAGTCAGCTTTATCGAAACCATGATGCTGTCATACAGCATCGTGACTGATATTTTTGCTAGTGGCATGTGTAAGAGAACACTCTTTAGTAGTCCGACACCGGTATGATGCCAAACGTAGACGTTAACATGATATCTCTGTGTAGCCTTCGCCAACATGCAGTTCTGTTGCTGAGTGAAGGTGATTATGCCTCCTTACACACGGACACTTCTTTCCTCTGTTGCATCGTGAATAAGAACATCTTCTTTCGTGTATTTAACCCGAGCTCTGCCTCACCTCTATCCCACTGCTTTTTTTTCTTATTTTTTTACATTTTCTTCTCCAAGTGTCTTCACCCGCACCCTATTCTACCAGCTTTATTTGATTCTACGACTCTCAACATCCAACTCCAAGCTTCTACCACCTGCAACCCACACACAAAGCACAACACCACATCGACAACCAAATCGCACTCTCCAGTTTCTTTGGGCTGCTCTCCAAAATGGACAGTTTTTTCGATTTCGACGCCTATTACGACACGTCTTCGACTGAGGCACTGCCAGAGGTTCCTATGGAGTCGGCGATCCTTGAGACACCTCAAAACCCTTCGAGCACAATAGACCAAGGTTGGCCTCAGTCAAGCTCGCCAATTGCTGAGTACGCTTGGGACAACCTTGGTCTATTTTCTGACCCCATGGAATCCGCAGGCTTTGAGGAACCCATGGTCCTTGAGAGCCTTATGGAATCTACAAACCCTGAGCCACTCTCAGACTTGTCGGGGTTTATGGACCTTGGGCCGGCTGTGGACTTGACAGATCCCGCACTACTCACAGACTCTGCGCCCACCATGGATTTTCCACAGACTATGGATCCCGAGGAGCTTGAGCTATTTTTAGGCAACGAGCTGGACACTTCACAATGGCAGCACGTGGACCTTGAGTACCGTGGGATCCGTCAAGACTCTATGCTACCATCATTCTCTACGGCGCTTATTGACCAAGAGCAGCCTGCATACGCCACTTTGCCCCCACCGCTCATGAGCCCCGAGCTCCCTGCGGCAAGGATAGACCCTCGCCTACTGACGCAGCCTTCATCGTCAGTTATGCAGACGGAAGTGTCTGGTTTAAATTGCATGGGATCCGATTTCCATGATGCCAATGCTCTGACTTCTATGGGAGGTATCGCATTGGATCCCAGCACTGTAGAGCGCAAGATCCTTGACTACACCTGCCGTCTTAATGCTGTCCACTACTACAGGAATGGTGACCTCTGGGACTTCCCTGACCTGCTTAGCAACCCCTATGGCTTTGAAACGGAATTCGTCGCCTGTGGGCTACGCTTGAGAAACCTTATGTGGTACAAATACGAGCCCAATGTTGCTCCGCCGGAGCGCACGACGGAGTTGCCTAGTATCGCAGGTGGTTTGACCGTCATGCAGTACTCTAGATTATACACTGAGAGCCGTACAGTATCAAAGTACGAGAATGATCGGGCAGTCGGCTGGGTTTGTTTCATTATTTTTATAAGAAGCCAAGCGATGCAGCCTGCCTCTGGCACCTCTCCCAATGCCACTCTTGTCAACACTTCCCAGAACACTTTAGTCACCACTTCCCAGACCCCAAACATCACTTCCCAGAGTGTCCCGATCACCACTTCCCAGAGCACTTTAGTCAACACTTCCCAGAGCACTTTAGTCAACACTTCCCAGAGCACTTTAGGTAGCACTATTGGCAACCACACCGACGCTGTTGATGTTTCTGGTCCTGCTACATCGCCGGCCAAGTCGTACCTCCAAACAGCTGTGGATTACTGGAACTTGGACGCGGATAAGTGGACCGACGATACATGGTCCTCGGTTTCGATTCCGAGCGAGTTCCTGCCCACAGCGGGAGACAATAATTTGGGCCTTCAGAAGACATTTGTCCAGTGTCCCTTGGCTGCTGAGGCGATTGTTGATCTGGCAATTGGAGGCAAGATCAACTTTGCGACGCAGCGGCCCATGGACGATGTCGTCAGTGGATCTGTTTTCATCTTCAAAGACGGCGAGCACATCAAACGCTGGACTGACAACCATGTGTGGACGGTGAGCCGCAAAGGCGCCGGCGCCGGCGACATGGTCTATCGCGAGGCCATCAAAGGCCAGGCCAGCAGGGAGATCAAGCACATCGAGGTCACCGACGCCAACGCTGCGGAATTTCTGCACATCAGCGCAGACGACATCGCCAAGTGTCGCACGCCCGTCGAAGAAATTGCCAGTCTCCTGGTCTGCGGCTTGACCTCGGCTGATAATCTCAAGCACGGCGGTTTGGTCAAGCGCACAACCAAGGTTGTCCGCTTGGTTGGCGGTGGGCGAGTGGCCCGTGAATCCAAGCCCGTGAAAGACCAGCGGACAGATCCGAGGGTGTTCAGCGTCTATCGTGTCGTGTCGTACTACACGATCAGCGACGTCTGCAACCGTGCCGTGGTGCCATTCCGCGTCTAGCTGCACCCCCTCCTCTTACTGTTGATATTTGCATTTTCGTGTTCTTTGCCAGCAAAGCAGCCAACCAACACAAAATGCCACGTTCATCCTCGACGCTCCATTTTATTTCGGATCGCTGGATGGCAACAGTAAGAGGAGGGGGTGCGCACCATACACAACCCACCTAGACCATGTCACGAGTCACGACAATTTTATTTTGTCTTTGCCTCTGTCTCTGTGTCTTTACTTTTCTGGTTGTATGGTTTGCGCATGCCTCCGCGCTCCTTTCCTGGCGTGTCTCTCCTGTCTACCTCGGCCTTGGCAAACAGCAACTACCCCAAGACACAACCTTATAAGAAACCCTAAGATCACAATAAAAAAAGAACGAAAAAAAAGAAAGAAATAAAAGAAAGAGGAAAGAACAGAAAGCTTGTAGTCGCTCAGAATATATGGCTCGTTTTGTTTTCTACTTATTATTCGTCCTGTTTGTTTCTTGTTTCTCGTTTCCCCCCTCCTTTTGTTTCTCAATTTCTGTTTTCTATCTTTTGTTGGTGTTTTATTTCTCTACTGCCTATTATCTGCTTTTTAATTTTGACACTGGATTTTACTCTTTGTTCCTTATTTCTTTCTTATTTTCTATTCTTTTTTGTTTTATATTTCATGTTTCATATTTTCTATTTCCTATTTTCTATCTTCTGTTTTCGTTTTTTATCTTTCGTTTTTTGTCCTCTGTTTTTCTTTTTCTTTTCTTCTGTTTCTATCTTCTATGTTCTTTTATCTTTTTTCTTATATTCTGTTTCCTGTTAAATTTCCGATTTCTTTGTTATTTGCAAATTACATGTACACGAGATCGTTCCACAAAATTGAAAAAATAAATAATAAAATTCCGAGCCACATGTCATTGTGATATTGTACCATAGAATGTTCAGGAGCTGGAATGACAAACACTTGTAACAAGAGAAAATTCGTATAAGCATGGCTAGACTGGTCAGGCTCATATTCTACGATGGCAGTAAGTCAACCTATCAAGCAGGCCTTTTTGACGTAATTTATATTTTGTTTTGAACTACAATTTTACTGCCCTTGAAAGGTCGCCACACAACTTCCTGTGATTGACGTGGCGATGTTTTCCTGCCTCCCGCACGATACAAAACTGGAAACAACCTTAATAGTTCCTGTTTGCGGTAACATAACAAAATTATCTGAACGGCGTTTACAGCTTGAGCCGTCGCTTGTTGACTCCAAAGTGTCGACTGGCATTGAATAGACCTGCTATCTGGCTTTGTTGCTAGAGGGCTCTCTATTTTGCCAGTTAGTCTAGCGGTCTAGTTCCTATAAGCGCTTAATATCACGTGACCATATAGGGCGGTTTGATAGCTCGCAGGGCCTGCGAAGAACGCAGTGGGAAAAAAATCGCTTCTGGGACATCGTTATCTTATCGCGATTTGTTTCTTGGAGCCCGCAGAAACGTCGACTGCAACAGACAAGAGCTATACTCCAATCTCGAGGGTCGCGAATCGGCCTCTCTTTTGCCTGGAACGTTGCTTTTCTTGATCAACTCGACACATGAAGACAGCGCGACATTCCCTGCCCCTTCGGCAGGGCCTTTCGAGCATTTGCTCGCCCCTGGACCACCGATGCCGACCCGATAGACCAACAGCGCTGCTACGCCAGCGGTGGACGACCCGCGCCCCAGGGTTGCGCCGGCGCGGCTTTGCCGACGTGGCCTCCGGATCGCGACCCCCGTTCGATGTCGTGGTAGTCGGTGGTGGTCATGCCGGTGCTGAGGCATGCGCGGCAGCAGCAAGGACGGGCGCGCGGACCGCGCTGGTCACACCGAAACTGGACAACCTGGGCGTCTGCTCGTGCAACCCGAGTTTCGGCGGTATTGGCAAGGGAACCATTCTGAGGGAGGTTGATGCGATGGATGGCCTGGCGGGCCGCATCATCGACCGCGCTGGCGTGCAGTTCCGGGTGCTGAATCGGCGCAAGGGGCCGGCCGTCTGGGGCCCGCGAGCGCAGATTGACCGAGCGCTGTACAAGAAACACATGCGCGCCGAGCTCGAATCCTACCCGAACCTGTCGATTGTGGAGGGCAGCGTGTCAGACATTGTGGTCGCGGCGGCGGACGAAAAGAGCAACACAGAAATGGCTCGCAGCCGCATCACGGGCATACGTCTCGAGTCGGGCGAGGTGCTTCCCACAAGCACGGTTATCATCACCACGGGAACCTTTCTGGGCGGCGAGATTCACATTGGCCTCGAGGCCTACCCTTCGGGCCGCATGGGCGAGGCAGCCACGTTTGGGCTGAGCCGCTCACTGCGAGAAGCCGGGTTCCAGCTCGGCCGTCTCAAGACAGGCACACCGCCACGGCTCGACCGCAAGTCCATCGATTTTGGCATCCTCGAGGAGCAGCCGGGAGACGAGCCACCCATGCCGTTCAGCTACCTCAACGACCGTGTGGCTGTCGACGGGGACCAGCTGTTGTGCCACGCCACGTACACCAACGAGGCCACACACGACGTCGTGCGGGCCAACCTCGACAAGACAATCCACATTCGCGAGACCGTCAAGGGCCCGCGCTACTGCCCATCGCTCGAGTCCAAGGTCATCCGCTTCGGCCACAAGGACCGCCACATTGTGTGGCTGGAGCCCGAGGGCTTCGACAACGACATTGTCTACCCGAACGGCTTGTCGATGACGGTGCCAGCAGAGGCGCAGGAGCAGCTGCTGCGCACGATCCGAGGCCTCGAAAACGTGACGATGCTGCAGCCCGGCTATGGCGTCGAGTACGACTACGTGGACCCGCGCAGCCTCAAAGCCACGCTCGAGACCAAGGCCATTGACGGCTTGTTCCTGGCCGGCCAGATCAACGGCACCACGGGCTATGAGGAGGCTGCCGGCCAGGGCATCGTGGCAGGCATCAACGCGGGCCGTGCGGCGCAGGGCCTGGAAACCGTGCGGCTGTCGCGCGCCGACGGCTACATTGGCATCATGATTGACGATCTCATCACCAAGGGCGTGTCGGAGCCGTATCGCATGTTCACGGCGCGGTCCGAGTTCCGCCTCAGCGCGCGCTTCGACAACGCCGACGAGCGGCTGACGGAAAAGGCGCGCGCATGGGGCGTGGTCGGCGACCGGCGCTGGGACCGCTACTGCGCGGACCGCGACCAGGCCGCCGAGCTGACAAGCCTGCTGCGCGGCGTCGTCCTGAGCGCGCCCGCATGGCAGCGCCTGGGCTTCAATGTGCGCGAGGACACCAAGATGCGCAACGGCCTCGACATGATGCGCGTGACGGGCGTCGCGGGCGTCGACGACCTTGTGGCGCGCGGCGCTGTGCCCAACGGGGAGCGTATCCTCGACAATTTCGCGCCGCACGTGCGCCGCCGCGTGTCCATTCATGCGCAGTACGCGCCCTACGAGGCGGCGCAGCTCGCGGAGCGCTCGCGCGTGGCACGGGACGAGGCGCTGCAGCTGCCGACGGACCTGGATTACGCACAAGTGACGGGCCTCAGCATTGTGGAGCGGGCGACGTTGACGGAGACGCGGCCCGAGACCTTGGCCCAAGCGCGGCGGCTCGAGGGTATGACGCCAGCCGGATGTGTTAAGCTGCTCAGATACGTGAACCGGCTGCAGAGAACCGTCAGCGTGGAGGAGAACGCTATTCTAGCGTCGGCCGACGGCGACATGGCGACTGTGGATGCGGAGGCACGCGCAGCCGATCTGTCGTGAGAAGACGTTGGCCCGACTTGATCTGTACGAAGCGATTACGACGACGACATGGACAATTGCATAAAGAGCATCTGGGTGTTTGGTGTCGGTTAGCATTTTTGTCGAATTCCTTGTTTCTTTTCCACTCTCTGTAGACTCCCAATGACCAGATGACGAAGCTATGATACATAAATGCACAAAATACTATTCAAAAATAAACGACGCCCCTGCTCCGTTTCCCTTTAAGTTTGGTCAAACTCCGATGCCCTTTACTCGCGAGCATGGTGCTCCCACCCGTACACAGCCTCTCCCCCCATCTCATGGCGACTTGGCCTTTTGCGTCAAGATCTTGACGGCGTCCTTGCTGTACACGTAGCTCGCGCCGCTCCACACCGTCGTCACTGCCACAATGTACTGCATCACAGTCAGCGCGGCCGTCAGGTCGTACGGTCCGCCCAGCATCGCCGCCACCGTGCCCGTGCTCGCCGCCAGAACGGGCGCTGCCGTGGTCACCCCCATCAGCGCCAGCTGCAAGAACGTGTTGTACTTGCTAATGGTTGTCGGCCGCACCTCGGCCGACGGCAGCGAGAAGTCCCAGTACCGCGAAAACGTCTTGGGTGGCGGCAGCGACACCCAGCGGTAGTAGATGGCGGCCACGCCCAGCCCCGCGTCGCGGCCCAGGACGAGCACGGCCAGCCACACGGGCAGCCCGCCCTGCGCGGCTAAGCTCACGGCCAGCACGGTCATGAGCACTTTGTCGGCCATGGGGTCGATCACGCTGCCGACGACGGTGTGCAGGTTCCAGCGGCGGGCGATCCAGCCATCCAGAATGTCGGTGACGGCAGCGGCGGCCAGCAGCGAGAGGGCCCAGCCAGGCTGGTCGGCGACGATCAGGTAGCCGACAAAGGGCGCGGCAATGAGGCGGGCGACCGTCAGAAAGTTGGGGACGGTATAGATGTTCTCGTGGCGGGTTGTGGTCGTGGGCCGGAGTATGTGGGAAGAAGAGGAAGAAGCGGCTGGAGTAGGTGGTGAAGAGGAGCCCTTGTCCGATAGGAGGCGCACATGCTGCTGTTGCCGGCCGAGAGCACCGCTCCGTAGACGAGATAGAAGGACCCCACAGAGCGGACTCTGAGCACGTGACGGTGATCCAGAGGACGGAGCGCAGAGTGTCGACACGGCCGACATTTTCGATGCGCTCGATATTGGCCTTGTTTGTGGGCCCGACGGCTGTGTCTGTGTCTGGGGCCATACCGAGGCCAGCGCAAAGGGCGACAAAGGCGTTGACGTCGCTGCCAATGCTGCAAAAACGGTCGCGGTCCCCTGGCCGCCCCGGCCGCTCCGGCCGCAGCCTGCTATCGTGAGCCTCAGCATTGGCTCGACCCTATGTGACGACGCAAGGGTATGACGGCACAATGGACCTTGGCTGGGTGTACTGCCAAGGCGACGGCGCTCGGTGGTTGTGGCCGTGTGCCCGTGGCGCAAGAATGTGAAATTCGGGATGCGTTTCCTTGGACGGCAAAGACGGCCCCGGAGGGTAAGAAAAGAAAATTTTAGGGCGCGTTCACCGGTTGCAGGCCACTGAGTGGCCGGAGAAAGACTGCGTCAGTGTGAGCGGCTGTCTGGGGGCTAGCTTGCCCGCGGCAACTAGTGGGTCCAGCCTTGTGAACGGCACAAACAGCACTGAAACATTGAGACAAGCCCAAGCCTAGTTTTGTGCAACCAAATTACAACTGTTCGAAATGTCTCCCCATCGTCGTCTGATTATATGTCTGGAAGCTGTTTTGTACGTAGCAGGCTAAAAATCTGTAGAAAAAGACGGAAGTGACAAAAGAAAGCAAAACGCAAAACGCCATCACAGGAAGACAGCTCCTCTGCATGCGTAATTTAAGCCCACTCTGCCAATCGACTCGGAGCCTCTTGTCGATTATCGCCGCCCAATCTCCTTGCGCAACCGTCCTGCAGCCGTCGTCGGTGGCGGCTCTGGCCACGACGACACTGCTTCGTCCACCTCCTCCCAGAAGCTGTCGGCATTGTGGATGGTCGTGCCGCCCAGAACGATACGCACGCCGGGGGCCGTCTCGTTGAGACTGGCTACCGTCTTGGCCTCCTCGTACGTCGCACCGCCTACCATAAAGACGACAATGTCCTGTGGCTTGTCACGCGTCGTGCCACCGCCCTCGACGAATGGATACTGCTGCTCGCGCAGCCGGCCCTTGATGAGGTTCTGGAGAGTCGTCTCGAGCAGCGGCGAGTGCATCGTATACACGTTGTCGACACCTTTGAGGCCGCGCAGGGCCTTGGCACCGCCAGCAAAAATGCCCGACGACTCGAAAATGTCGGCAATGCCGCCCGCACCGGCACCGCTACCGCCGGCAGTTGCATGGTGCAACGACTGCTGGAAGGCGAGCAGCTTTGCCACCAGATCCGCCTTGCGCTGGGGCACGTTACCGGCGGCCGTCAGTAGATCCACGAGCATGGCCAGGTTGGTCTGGCTCTGCTTCTCGTAGCGGAGGGCGTACAATGCCACCAGGCCGACCTTGGCGTCGGCCGTCACCGATGGCTTCTGGATCAGTGTTTGGACCGTCTAGTAGAGGTTCCGTTAGTATCTGCGCATATGTCCAAACTGACAACTGGGCACAATATAGAGATCGACAGAGAGAGACTCACCTTCAAATCGGCCGCGTGGTTGTCGTTGCAAGCAAGGCTCTGCTCGCACTCGCTGACTTCCAACAGGTCCTCCTGGCCGACGCGGCGGCTGAGCTCTGAGATGAGGTGCACATGCTTGCTGACATTGCCCGACAGCTTCCGGAACTCGGGGTATTCCTCCACAAACCGCTTCATGTCGGCAATCGACTCGAGGTTCTCGTTGTTCTTGTGCTTGGACTGGAACTGCGCCACATAGTCCTTGACATTGGAACCCAGGTCGCCAAAATTGAGGTACATGTTCTTTTTGAAAAAAGGGTCCTGGTCCTGCGACAGCACAATCTCACGCAGGTCCGGGCCCGGTTCGGACGACGGGCCTGCCGCGCCGGCGGGGGCCTCTTTGGCCTGCAGGTCCACGCGCCCGTTGCGGATGCCAAACAACTGGTGCACCATCGCCTGGTACGTCCATTGCGTGAGGAGCGGCGTCACGGCGTCCTCGCGGCGGTCCAGGATCAGCAGGATGGGCGGCGTGTCGACGGGCCGGAAATCAAACAGCTGCTGCTCTTCCTGTGTCATGCGGTACCGCACCTCTGTGGCCAGCTTCTTGGCAAGCAGGCTGCTCTTTGTGTACCGGATCAGCGGCTTCTTCTTGAGCGCCAGCAGCACCGCCAGGACGCCCTCGGTCGACCGCTGCAGCGCGTCCGCGTTCCACGAATCGGACGTGGGGCCCCATACGTGCGTGATCAAGCTGCTGGTCGACAGGCGGCCGAGGTCGAGCGTGAACAGGTCCGGGTTGATGACCACAAAGTCGGCAAAGTACTCCTGCACGCGCTTGACGACCTCGTGGTCGTCGGCCTCGGCAAGCCGCTCCATCGACGACTTTTTGACGACGTTGCTGAAGAACAGGTTGTATTCGCCGTAGCGCGGGTCGCGCAGCTCTTCGACCAGCAGCTGGATCGACTCGGCCGAGGGCCGCACGAAGCAGTAGCAGCGCAGATGGCGCATCTTTTCGCGGTTGGCATTGTCCAGCCGGTCCGTCAGGTACACCTCGTGGTTCAGGAGCGTCGATTGTGTAATGGCCGTCGACACGATGGGCACTGTCTCGCGGTCGAGCAGCAAGATCTTCATTTTCGCCGAGATGGTGGCCGACGCAGCCGCCGAGGACCCCGCGCCAGGGGCGTCGCCGGCCGTCACCATCTTGTTGACATAGCCGGTCACGGCCTGCACGACGTCCATGGCCGTACAATGCGTACGAGTGTGAGCGCTGGATGGAGTGGGAGAGGAGAAGGAGGCGTGCCGAAATACGGGGTTTCGGATCCGGATGGATCGGAGGTTGTCGTCGCCTGTCGCCTGATTGCTGTCACGGCGTAGCAAGAAGCCAGAAGGCTGCTGAGCAGCAACGAATCGGCGAAATGAAAGAGTGCAGAGATTCGGAGGCAGCTGGTATCTCTCAAGGCGCGGTGCGCGCGTCTAATTGGCAATCGTAGGTCGTGAGGTTATGCTGTCAATGATTGCCAGCGAATGCAGATGTGTTGCGACGATGCTGCAAATGGAGCCTATTGCCTGCTGCATAGACGCCTGTGACGTTCTGCCAGCCTGCGCCAGCTAGACCAGCTAAGCTTTTATGTAGAGGTACATTTAACTGTATAAATTTTATAAGACTATACACGTACAGATACATAACGATAAGATAAGCCCCAAAACAAGCTGCGCTAGCACGCTGGACAAAGACCTGCTGCTGGCTTTTGGACCACGATTTTGGTCCCCCGAGCAAATACAAATAAATCGACCGCCGAACAACACCCAGCTCCAGCCTCCATGACGGCGCAATAACCAGTGCCGTCGGCATCCCGACTGCCACCGACATCTTCCTCTCTCTTCACACAGCAATCCGACTTCCGGTGTCCCGGTTTTGGGTGGCCATGGTCAAGGACGTCTGCCCGCCTCAGGCAGAGCCAGCGTGCGTTCGACTTGTCCCGCTTTCTTTGTTCTTCTTCCGTCCCAACTAGAAGCTCTGTTCGGCTGACATGAACCCTTTTTTGCCTCATTTAGCCTCTCCTTTACCCAAGGCCTAATCGTTGGCCAACTGTCTGTCGTTCTGCTTGTTGCGGCCTTCATCAAATTCTTCATATTTGGCGACCCTCCATCGGCCGAAACCACCGCCTCACAACGAGCCTCGGAACGGCGCTCGCGTACCGATGCACACAGACAATCTCTCCTCACACTTCGTGCCTCGCAGCTAGATCTGCAACGCGGCAATCCTCAAGGCCTGGGCCGAGGCGGTCACGGCCTCGGCCACCAGTCGAGTAGCACCCATGAATTCCTGCAGCCGCCGTCGACGGGCGCACAAGGCGCGGCCGGGACGCACCAGCAGCAGCTCAACAACCGCCGTACGTCCAGTGTGCTCCGCCGGCCGCCTGTCCTTACCATCGGCTCCATTCTCAACAAGACCTACTACCGCGTCGACAGCCACCAGCCCGAGAGTCTGGACTGGTTCAACGTGCTCATTGCCCAGACCATTGCGCAGTTCCGCAACGACGCCCAGCACAACGATGCCATTCTCACATCGCTCACAAAGGCGCTGAACGGCACGTCACGGCCCGACTTTCTCGACGAGATTCGCGTCACCGAGCTGAGCCTGGGCGAGGACTTTCCCATCTTTAGCAACTGTCGCATCATCCCTGTCGACGAGGACGGGTATGCCACAAACGCCGGTGGCGGTGGCGGCGGCGGTGGAGCTGCTGGCCTTGCGGGCGCCACGCGGCTGCAGGCACGCATGGACGTCGACTTGAGCGACATGATCACCCTGGCCGTCGAGACCAAGCTGCTGCTCAACTACCCACGGCGCCTGTCCGCCGTGCTCCCCGTCGCGCTGGCCGTGTCGGTTGTGCGCTTCAGCGGCACGCTCTCTGTCTCATTCGTGCCGAGCAACCCGTCGCAGGCCACACCCACCAAGATGATCTTTGCCTTCCTCGACGACTACCGCCTCGACTTTTCGATCCGCAGCTTGCTGGGCAGCCGGTCCCGGCTGCAGGACGTACCCAAGATTGCCCAGCTCATCGAGTCGCGGCTGCATCGCTGGTTCGACGAGCGTGCCGTCGAGCCGCGCTTCCAGGAAATTGAGTTGCCAAGCCTGTGGCCGCGCATGAGGAATGCGCGCGGCGGCGGTGCCGGCCCGCCGAGCGAAGATGTGTCCATGTCCGACGGGGGTGCACAGGCAGGCGGCAGCGGGGCTGCTTCAGGTGGTGCTGGCGGTGCCGGCGGTGCTGGCGCAGCTCGCACGGGCTCGAACGCGATGCCGACGAGCGGCAATGCTGCAGGTCCGGCCAGTGCCGCCGGCCCTACAGGGGCGGGTGTTGGTGGTAATGGACCGGGACCGGCAAACGGCGGCCTGGATGTGCTGCGACAAAACCGACCAGAGTCGAGGGACTCGCGCGATTCAGTCGCAACGCGCGACACCCGAGACCCGCGGCGCGAGGCCGAGACCGAAAGCTGGGTCGAGCGGCAAGTGCCGCCTTCCTTGCACCAGCACCAGTCGTCGCTGTCGTCTATTTCAACAGCGCAAGGCCAGTCGCATACATCTGGCTACGTCTCACATCACCAGCAACACACATTGCGGCCGTCACAAGACTCGCTGCGGTTCCGGCGGCGGTCACGGCACGACGATGGCTTTTCCATGCCTGGATCGCTTCCCGACATGGGCATAAATCCGCACGGTTGAGATTTACTCGTTGTCGAAACCCGATATACAATGGAGTTCAATTGAACGTTTTATAGATGTGTGGGAATATTTACGGTTTTTTTTTCAGAATAAATTAAAAGAAAATGGGAGAATAAAATAAACAAACGGCACGCGCAATTATTGACGATTTACTGCTCTCCCCACCTCAGGTATCATACAAACAAAAAAGCCGCTATTCTACAGACTGAGACCTTTAAAGGGTTTCAATGGAATCACCACGGAGATTTATATTCTTAGACAGCTTGGTTGTAAAGCCGTTTCAACAAAACAATGTACCATAATTTTGCATACAAAACGCAGGACACGGCTAACAAGTCTATACAAAAACAGTACTCCTATTCCCTTCATCCCTAATTGAATGCTCCTTTGCAAGACGAGCGTGACAACAGCCTCTGAACTTCTCTCACCACCAGACCTCTTCCAAACGTGGCTTTAGTGGAAAGACACCAAGGCCAACGGACTCTCCGTTTGCGACCAGAGATGCTGGTACCAGTAGATGGCGCCCGTCACGAGCAGGATGTAGTACGCAATGGTCCAGAGAAGGCTGCCATGGGACTGAGGCGGCTGTGCCGACGACGACGCCACATTGCCGCCGCTCTCCGGGTTGCGCTGCACGCGGCCCCAGAACCGGGGCAGGCCCATGCTGTTGCAGAAGCTGTGCACGACGCACACGGCTAGCAGGCTGCCTGTGCGCAAGTACAGGAATGTCGCGTAGCTGCCAAACAGCGTTGTATACGCAAACTGGACAAGCGACCGCAGCACGACCTGCGCTTTGGGCACGCCCGGGTGCGTCACCGAAAACTCGTAGGCGTGGTGCAGGTGCGCGAGGCCAAACACAATGGGCGACAGCAGCACAGTACGGCCCACGGGCGTGTGCGCGAGGAGCAACGGCGGCACACCGGCGGCGCGGAACAGGACCTCTTCAGTGACTGGACCGGCGACGAGGTTGCGCCAGTCGGTCCACTCGCCCAGAAAGTAGAGGGGACCAAACAGACGGGGGGCCGTAGACCCGTCAGCGCTGGCGCGGCCCGCCCACGCACGCCAGCCGCGCTCGACAACAAAGTACTCAAAGAGGGGGCCCACGAAGAGGCCCGCCGTCAGCAGAAGAGCATTCCATGTCTCGACGAGGCCGACGGGGAAAACGCCCATGAGATGGAGGGCATCAAAGTTGAGAAGGCGCGTGCCGTCGCCGGGCTTGCCGTTGGTCGTGAGGAGAAGGAATGTGACGACAGAGCAGATGGCGCAGCTCACGCTGACGGAGGCGATGCGCGCTCGAATGACGGAGGGCGCATCGCGCGAGAGCGAGGGCGAGGGCCGGGTGAGGCTGGAGAGGTAGAAGGGCGCGACATAGATGATGGTGTAGACGACCAGGAGGAGGACGGCCGTCCGGGTGGTGATGGGCGGAGGGACCTCTTCTGCAAACATGGCCGTGGTTAGCATAGGATGCAGAGCAACGCTGTTTGCTGAGAGTTGTGCTTGGTAGAGACAAGATCGGCAGAGGATTTCGGAGAGCCTGGTCAAAAGCCAAGCGTCACAGCGCTGTCCAGGCGATGTGGGCGACCTACGTTTCGGCTTATGCCAGATGTATTTATCAATGAGCCCCTTCACGGCCGGCATGATGGGCAGCGCGGATGCAGATGGCAAAGCCCTAGGAATATGACGGGAGCTGTTTGGTTGCCGTCACGTTCTTTGTCGTTGGCAAAGCTGGTGTCGCAAGGGAGGCTCTGCTTTTGCGATTGGTGCGGATGGCCGCACAAAGCCCTCAATGGGAACAATAGCAACGACGACGATGCGTCGAAGGGGTGGCACAATACGAACAGATGCGGAGGACGAGCAACTGCAACCTGGACGGGCGAGCCCTCGAAAGTTGACGAGCTTTACCCATACGAATTAAGGTGAGCAGAAACACTACGATATGCAATTGAACGGCAAGCGCAAGGGGACCGCACACGGCCAGCCGCATTGTCAGCTCTCGCTGGGACAGGACCCACTCGTCGCTCTGTTTCCCCTCCGGCTGGCCCTCGCGGTCTAGAACACCTGGGGAGAGGTTGGCCAATGCTGCCTTCTTGTCCTCGCCCACTGGCAAGCTTTTGTTCAAAGGACACGACAGATGGCTCCTTGCTCCTTTGTTCCTTCTTGTTTTGTTATGATGTGCGTGCCATGGCCAATAGCGATACGAACAATTCAATAAGTACATGGTGATATATCGTGGAAAGCCTGAGCGCCACTAACTAGATTCTTGAGATTCTTGAGATTCTTGACTGAGTCTCTGTCGAGTGTTTACAAGTTTCGAGTTCTGCGCAATGTTGATACAACCTGGTTGCCCAAATGGCTACAGAGAAAGCGTCAATGGGCCTGTTAAGATACCTTCTTCGCTCTGCCCTGTCCGTCTCCCATTACGCTCCGTCTCTCGTTGGCGCCTCGCTTGTATTCCATACGCAGTAAATACGTAAGTTGCCTGTTGTGCCTGCTGTGCTCCAAAATGTTATATGTTATACGACGGTATGTTCGCAAACCTCCTACTAGATCACACGACTTGGCGTATCTCCTGAAAGATGAGTGCTTGGAACAGTTGAGGTCCCTGCCAGTGCGCTACTTGTTAACAAGCAGATCTCAATTGTGGAAGGAGCGAGGCTAGCAGGTAATACAAAGGGGCAGCTTTTTTCATTTTCATTTCCATTTCATTCTTTATTTTCCCCTTCATATTCAAGCTTCGTATCATCCGAACAGGAGAAGCAAAAAGGACTGAATGGCCTTCCAGCGGGCAGTCTTCTGTGGCCCTTACCGTCTTTCTCTCCTCTCTGACCCCCGTGTTTTCTCATCCTTTTCTCATCCTTTTTTGTCCACCACCAGACCTGGTCTGTCTTGGCCTCCCCAATTTTCCCGATTCAGTGGACACTCCCCTGTGCTACGGGGGCTACAGAGCATTGGAAAAGGTACTATTCTGTAGTCGTGCTCTGGCTGGAACCTCACCTCCACGCCCCTGTTCACCCCCACCATACGACGCGCTGCCCCAAAGAGCTAAGCCAAAAACGCGTCTTTCCAAGGTCGTTACGCGACGTTATTAAACGCCTGTGGACGCTAGTCTTCACCGTACCTGATTCGAACGCGCCTTGCGGAATTATTGGAGCTCGACACCCCACAGAGAAGTACACTTTGGTATCTTTTTGGAGTTTCTCGCCGTGGCCAGCATGTCAGTGAAACCACGGCAGCCTACGGGTAGCCGGCTCTCTCTGTGTCGGTCGAGCAAGTAAAACCGAGAGACGGGCGGCAGATGAGACCGACACGAAGCAGAAAGACATAACGATGGCCCCAACGTGGGTATCGAGTAAATGAGGCCGCAGCAACGAGGCCTTCAAGCGCTTGAGATAAGTAAGACAAGGCCGCAGGAAGCTGCAGCAGGTCGGCAGCCCAAAATATCTCAAATGCACGTTGCCATCCACAGATGGCTGTGAGGCGGACGCCGCTCAAACGGGGATCGGCCTTGCAGCTGTAGGTGTCTCTGTCTGCCGTTTGGGTTGGCGCTGCCATCCTCTTTGTCCTCCGCCAGGTTGGTCTCCTCCCACAACCAGGTTCGCTGACTGTTTGGCCAACTCGGTTCCTCCGTGCGTTGAACTCTTGTCTCAGTTACACCCATGGGGCTACTTTTCCCTCTGTGCGGCCTGCAGTAGGGTCCAGCCTCACCTTCCACCGTCATCTTACAGGTCCGCTTTTCATGTCATCGTACAGGTGCAGCGCAGCAACCTGCACCTGCATATGAATCCGACTTTTTTTGTACTATTTTTGCTTTTTTTGTCGTCACTTTTGCGTCTTCTATGTTTTGCTGGCTTCCCTGATATCCTCACACTGCCTGTCTCGCTTCATTTCCCTGCTCTCCTTGCCTTCCTGTTCGCCAGCTGATTTGGTTTGTTTACATTCCACTGATGTGGCGATGCGGCCGGTGGCTCCTGCATCCAACGTATCCAGAGCGCCTTCTCGTAACAGATATGCATAACGCGTTCCTCCGGCTTTCTCATTTGGTCCTTTTTCTTGGTACTCTCTTCTGGTCTTTCTATTTTGTCACTGGGCGGTTCGCCAGCCCCGGATTTCTGGTCACCGCCGACACTGTTGGATTGCGGCGTAATTAACGTCCAAATGCAATCAACGCCCTAAGCAGACCGTATTTCAGCCGAGAACTGCTCTTTCCACGCAATCCGCAATGAGCAGACCGTGCTCTTTCCTTTTCCAGCTACGTGACCGTTGTTGCCTTCTTTGGCCACGCTTAAACACGTAGAGTGGTTTGTGTTTGTGCATCCAGTGGCGTTAATTTTATGATGCACTTGGCTCTTTCCATTCTTTTTTTGTCCTGTCATCCTTACCCTCTGCCGTAGTCAAAACGGGGCCAGCATGTCTCTGATCCTCGCACGACATGTACACACGGCCAAACAAAACAGCTGTGACCAACCGTCTGGCGCGCGCGCGACCAGGGGTACAGATGAATACTTTCGGTCCCCACGGAACACCGCCGGTTTATGTGAAGTCGTTATTCTATTCTGGGTCTTTTTCGTCTAGCAGAAAAAAGTCCCCATCACTGACAAACACGCCAATAGCTGCGCCAAAAAGCAAAAAAGTGGAAATGTGAGACGGTCAAAAACGACTCCTAAACGAGACTTTCCAATCTGCTTTCCTGCACTCTTCCTGCAGGCGTGCTGCAGGTGCACTGCAGGCGTGTTCCCTTCAAATTAAACCGCTGCAGCGTTGTGGACAGTCGCATCTCCAGCACGAATGAGCACAAAGGAGCTTAATGGAGCAGAAGACGACACAAGACCGCCACTGCGCAACCTCTGCGCAGCACTCGAGCCACTCGCAATACAACGGTATCCGCCACCGTACTGAGACGGGGCTTGCCAGTGGTCGACCAGACCCCCAGCCCTAGACGACCCAGACATTGCTCCCCTGAGCGTTGCATGCTCAGGAGCGGTTTCTGGTCCGCACGGAGCATTCATACTCATCTGTACGGAGTTGTGGGCCAATGGCAGCCACGCCTGTGCTTTGCGATGCCACTGTCTCTCGTCTCGGTTGGCTGGCTTGGGCCGACTTGGTCAACACCCCTGGTCGCTTTTACAAAGTTTCGCGTGCCAGTTCTGAGGAGACAAGGAAACAAAGTGAACCAGCAGGGGGGCAAACTCTAAGCTTCTGGCACCACAACCGAATCTAACCAGGACAGGAGACTAAGTAAGATATGAGCGCACGTCTTGTCTTCTGTCTCCGTTGAGGATGGTCCGGGGAGTTGACAACGGTAAGAAGGTTCTTTTTTTTTTTTTTTTTTCGCGTTGCCCAATTCCCTTCTACTGCTTCTCTCGTCCCGGCAGCTCTCAATCCTTTCCTTGGTCCTCGGCTGCTTCCAGATATCTAGTGTGCCATTTCGCTTTTCTGAATCTTCTTTTCCTTCTTTCTCCTCTCCTCCTCGCTCTTCCTTGCTCTCTCGCTTCGTCGTCCATTCGTTCAGTCGTGCCCGGCTCCGAAACAAGGCCGCGCCTACAGCTTCTCTCCTTTGTACATTTTCCTCTCGTTTTGCATACACGCCCGGTCTGCCCTACCCCCAGCGGCACGCCCTCTAGCCAAGTTACGAATTTCGGCCATTTGTACATTCTTGGTTGTACTCGTGGACTTCTAATACCGACAGTACTCTCGATCGTCTCATCTGAATGGTCCCTGGACCCAGTCCTTTTGATCAAGGATTAAGATTTCCTTCCAGATCCGCACTCTTATTTGGCTGTTTCTCGCCGCTCCCCTTGATCTTTTACTCTCGATTTTCGTGGTATTCTATATCACAGCCCCAGTCCCATCCAACTTCAGACCCTCGCCCCCTTTCGTCGTCGAGAACCACATCCCACGCTCTTCCATTAAACCCCTGGTCAGCACCCTCGTCCTCCTCTATTTGCTATACTCCATCATGCTGTCTTGAGTATCAGCCGAGACGGAGACAGCATTTCTCGTCGCCCTCGCCAACAAGGCCAGCTCCAGCTACCCCGGGACCCCCTGGCCCTCAGCTGTTTGTTTGGTCGAACAGCTTGTTCAAACGTTTCCTCTTTGCTTCGTCTCCTATCTTTAATTTCTTTTTTGACCGCTGTTGTCACGACATTCCTTTTTGCTCTCCGAACTCTCTTCCTGCGATCGCTTCTGTATTATTTCTCTCCTTGTCAGACATCAACCTTTTCTTTCTCATCCCCCTTCTAAATTGCTTCTTTCTCTAATTCATTCATCCGTCCTTGGTCCTATACGGTCTTCTACGCCCCAATCGTTAATATCGACACCTTCAATCCCACGCCCCCTCCCCCTTGTTCGCCATATATCTGGATCGTTCTTAATTGCTATTCTTAATGCTTTTCATGCCTTACGACTCTCCATTTTCTTTCCCTTGTGGTTTACTCGCTTCGCTACCT